CTACCTCTTGAGATCTTATCCCCCGAATCTGAAGGGGAGTAAACAGGCTCTGAGTGATGACTCCCTGGTCTCTACCAGGCCCGGCTGAGCCTTCTGGGGCTCCCCAGGCATCCCAGCTTTGTGGCGCCAGGCCACACACCTCGATGCTACAGTGTACGGGCAACCAGGGTGCTAGTCTGGAAACTCGAGTTCTGTGGCCCTCCTCAGGACCCTCAACCCGACATAGGGAAGATGGGCTTGGGCGATAGCCCTGTCACCACCTGCTGGCCCGTTTCTGTATAGGAGGAATTGGGGTCGGTGGCAGGATACGCCAGCCCCTGCAGAGAACCTACAAGTAGAGGCCCGTGGGCCGACTTGAAGCCCCGCCTTCAGGTTCTCAGAGGCCTCCTGCTGCACACAGCCTGTTCCCTGCACCGCAGAGTGCGGGAGACTCACCCTCCCTGAGATGAGGCCTCCATGAGCCTCTCCTCTGCTGGTTTCCAGAGGACGTGTTTTCCAAGACCGGCCAGGCTCCGTTACCTTGGAGGGCAGTCACATTCACTTGTTGCAAGTGATGGGACATGAGCTGATAGCTGGGCAACTCTGCAGACCGACCACTCCCCTGCACCTTTTCCTTTCTGCTCCCTGCTGTAGGGCCCCCTACCTCCCTGTGAAACAGCCCCTGGGAACTGAGCCAATGTTCCAAGAAGGCTTGGAATCAGGACCTCAGTTGGCACCCCCAACCCCCAAGGCAGTCTCCTGAGGTATGTGTTGGGTGGGAGCCTGGCAAATCTCACTCTCCAGGACAGCCAGCACTAGCTGTGGAACCCTGGGTAGGTCTCTTCCACCCCCCAGTCTGAGTTTCCTCATCCATAAAATGGGGGTCATTATTTTTACCTGGCCCTTTTGGGTGGGTGATTCCCATCTCAGTGGGTCTGCTGGAGGGCACATCTCTATAAGAGGGCCAAGAAGGATGGCGCGCAAAGGCTGGGAGCTGCCATGAGTCACACCCAATCTCCAGGCTCTCCTGGGGCACCCAACTGGCCACCCAGAAAGAAACGCTTTGGAAGTCTGGCTGTGGATGGGGCGCCCTCTGCTGGACATCAGAGAAAGTGTCTTCTTGACTGCCTTTCTCTGATCCCACTTATTCTCTACACTGGCGGAACTCAACGATGCTCCAGGACTGGGACTACAACCAGACAGAGGAAAGCCCTGGGGCAGATAAGGAGAGAGACCACTGGCAGTGGAGGAAAGAAACTGGGCTCGGAGTCAGACAGACTTGTGTCCAAACCCCAGCTCTATCACTGTGTGCCCTTGGGCCAGTGAATCAACCTCTCTGAACATGTTTCCTCATCTATCAAATTGCATTAGTACTAGTATCCACCCTGTGCGGCCGTTGCAAGGATCGGCTGAGATAACGTAGAGAACTTCACTGTGCCTGGCGCATAGTAGGAGCTCCGTAACTGTTGGTTCCCTTCACCTCTTTTAAGACTCGGTGTGTCTCAAGAGCCTGTGAAAGTGGGTCCAGAGAAACTAAGCAGAGTTCTGCCCTTAGACCACTCAAGCTTCACCCTCAGCACTTGCTCTTCTTGTCTGTGTGACCTTGGGTAAGTGACTGCACATCTCTGGGCCTCATTAAAATGGAACTCATACCTCAAAATAGATAATCGTGTAAAAAGCTAAATTAATGGCAGCTGCCGTTATTCTTTTGGCTCATCATCTATATCATCATTTCTATTACGGAGAACGTACCGCCTCTTGCTGTGCCTGGCACACAGCAGGTGCTCAATAAACATAAAAATAATGTCAAGGAGAAGCTGACTTAAAAAGGGAAGTGTTTTAGACCGTGAGTTGCAGTAAATGGCTCTCAAGCTTTTGGAACCTGGGTGGGGTTGCCAGTCCTGCATCTCTTTTCCTGGAGTAAAGGGGACCTGGAGCTCCCAGGGGAGAGTTTGGAGCAACAGCACCTGCCCGAAGTGGCGAGCTTCACTCTGCACTGGGAGCTTTCGCAGATGTGACCTCCCTGAACCATACAGCTGTAACTGGGGTACCAGGATTCTAATCCAGGCAGCTCGGGCCCGGTGGGCTGCGAGGGCGGACTGTACAGAGCTCCCCACACGAGGTCCTGCATAAGCAGGTGTCTCCTTACGCGGTCCCCAGTCTCTGCGCCTGACCGGAAGCTCTGGGAGGGCAGAACCACTCCACACACAGGGCAGCAATTGAGGATGGCGCTGCACACCACTTAATAATGGGGTGACTTTGCTTAAGTCACTTATCTCTGAACCTCCACATAAGGCGGCTCGCTGGGCATCTTTTTGGGGGGCATCACTGCATCCAAGGCAATGCTTTCTCCCAGGAGGAGGGTGCCGAGGGTGGCATGGGGCATGGCCGTTATAGGGTGGCAGAGGGGCAGAAGGGCAGTTGTTCATCACCCTGAAGCCCCCCGCTGTGCCCTGTATTTGAGGATAACTTCCTCTCAGCGCCCAACGTGGAATCCCTCAGGCGGAGGACCCTTGTGGAATGGGTTCAACATTCGTGGAGAGATGCACCTACTGTGTGCCTAGCTTCTTTCAAAACTCATGGTCAGGGTCTGCGTCTTGCCCTCCGGAGGGGGTGTGCTGCTACTGGGAGAGTGATCCCTCAGGCCAGCGCCCCAGGATGCTGGGCCATGAGGCCAGTGACCCAGGTCAAGTCTCAGCTTTACCAAAGAACAGCAGTGTAACCCTGGACAAGTTGCTTCCCCTCTCTGAGATAACGGTTGCCTTCTCTGTGTGCCTGGCACACAGTAGGCACTCAATATGTGTGTGCTTACTTGCTCTCTGGGCTCCAGTCACTTGTCAAAGAAGAGCATTGGGTCCTAAGAGTCTGTTATCCGCACTCTCAGATTGTTCTGTGGTCACCTCCTCTGGGAAGCCCTCCACACTGGAAGAGCCAACCCTGAGCTCCTCCAGTCTCCCGTGAATCTCACAGCAGAGGTGTCATCCCCTGGACTGTAATGATCATTGACCCTGTGAACCCGTGAGTCCTTAAGGGCAAGGGCAGCAGCTTGTCTGCAGTACACAGCACAGATGAGTTGAGAATGGGGGATTCAGGCATACAATCCCAGCTACTAAAATTCCTCTTCAGGTGTTTTACTTACTGCCTTCACATTCATGCCCTCATTTTTAGTAGAGGATGTGTTACTACATCCCAACTCCATACTTGGGGAACTGAGGCACAGAGAGGGGTGATGGCTTGTGTAGCAAACACATGTGTGGCATGTATTATGTTATACATACACGCTACATAACACACTTATCCCTCACAATCAGGGTTCTCAAAATTTGGTCTGTGGATCAGCAACAACAGCATCACCTGAGAACTGCCTGAAGTGCAAATTCTGGGGCTCACTCCAGAACTGCTGAATCAGAAACTCTGGGGTGGGCCCGAGCGATCTGGGGTTCAGCAAACCCTCCAGGGGATTCTGATGCACGCCAACGTTTGGAAACCACTGCCTTACAATACCTACCAAGTCACTATGATTAGTCCTCTTTTACAAACAGGGTGACTGAGACACATCGAAGGCAACTGGTCCAGGACCATACAGCTGTAACTGGGGTACCAGGATTCTAATCCAGGTAGTTTGGCTCCAGAAACGTGCTCTTGGAGACCACCACGGAGTTGACATCCAAATCAAAAGAAGGATCAGCAATCTTGGGCCATTCACTAATAACTCTGTATTGAGCACCTACTGTGTGCAAGGCACCGTGCTAGGCGCTGGGACCTCTGGGTCTTGCTCTCACCTTTGTTAGTCTAAGAGAGGGAGCGGGGCTGGGAGTCGCGGGGGTGGGTTGGGGAAGGGCAGGAATCTTGTCTGTTACAGGCAGAAGAGAGGGACAGGGAGACGGGCTGGGCGGCCCCTTTAAAAGGCGGGGCCTGGCGAGCGGAACTGCGGGGCGTCTCTGCGGGCACTTCCGGGAGGCTGGAAACGCTACACCGGAAGTGTCAGGTGAGAGGGAGCGGCGCCGCCGAGGCCTCACCGCTATGGGCCGCAACAAGAAGAAGAGGCGAGATGGCGACGGCCGGCGGCCGCGGCTCATTTTGAGCTTCGACGAGGAGAAGCGGCGGTGAGTGTCAAGGCTGGATCGTATCCTCTTCGGGCCGCCGGGCAAGGATAAGGCTAGGTCCGCCGGCACACGCTCACGCGGAGGGCCCTTCCGGTCCCGCCCTCTGGGCGTGGTGCGAAGCTCCCGCGGAAAGAAGCGGGCGCACTGGGCCCCCAGCCCAGAGGAATGGAATCGTCCGGCCCGCCCTTACTTCTCTTTTCGGCTCCCCAACCAGCCTAACGCTGCTGTACGCGCCGCCCGAGAGCGGGGAGCTCGGGTCTCCGAGCGGTGGCTTCGACCTCCCTAGCCCAGCCCGGCGGCCCCGCACGCAGCAGACTCAGCTGTTTTTGATGAACGATGAGTGAATGAAACGAGTGGCTTAAATTCATTTATTCGCCAGGCGATTACTAAGCTCCTTCGGGGTGTGCGCGCCAGGCCTCGGGATCCCTGAGTCGGACCCCTAAGCCTTAGCGTCCGGCCCATCACATGTCCCCCACTCAGAGTGCCACCTGGGTATATGGTAGTGGGTCAGCGAAAAGCCTAGCGTTGGGCCCCGGAACAGACGGGAATGGTGCAGCAGGCTCTAGAGAGATGAGAGGGGCCGAGATCAGATAGGGGGAGGGAGGGAAATGCTGAAGAAGCATCAAGAAACTCAGGGTGGGACTTCCCTGGTGGCGCAGTGGTTAAGAATCCGCCTGCCAATACAGAGGACATGGGTTCGAGCCCCGGTCCGCGAAGATCCCACATGCCGCGGAGCAACTAAGCCCGTTGAGCCACAACCACTGAGCCTGCGCTGTGGAGTCCGCAGGCCACAACTACTGAGCCTGCGTGCCACAACTACTGAAGCCCATGCGCCTAGAGCCCATGCTGCGCAACGAGAGAAGCCACTGCAATGAGAAGCCCATGCACCGCAACAAAGTAGCCCCCACTCGCCGCAACTAGAGAAAGCCCGCGCGCAGCAATGAAGCAGCCAAAAATAATACATAAATATTATTTATTTATTAAATAAATAAATAATAAAAAGAAACTCAGGGTGGCATCAGCACAACTTACAGATGAGTCCAGGGCGGGGTCCTGGGCAAATGGGGGGTTGGTCCAATGGAGAGTTCGTGGAGGTCTGGGTGAGGGTGGCCTTGAAAGCCCCACTAGAAGTGGCTTAATTCACTGAGTAATGGAGTTTGCCAGAGAAGAAGGGACCCTCACCTGTTCTAGGTTCAGAGGCCCTCAGCCTGTGCCCACCACCTGGCCCTGTTGCTGGCAGCTGAGAGCCCTGGAGGGTAGTGAGTGGAGAGAGGCAGCATCTCCCTCTCTTTCTCTATCTTACACTCTCTGTGACCTTGGGCAAGTAACCTTGCCTCTCTGTGCCTCAGTGTCTCCCATCTGTAAAATGGGGTTGTGTACCTACTACGCAGGTTGCTGTGAGGATTACATGAGTTAACGTACATTTTTGGAATGGTGCTTGGCACATGGTGAGTGCAGTATTAGGTTTTCTTTTTTTTTTTTTCTCTCTTTCTGGAGCAAGCTCTTCTTTCCTTGTATCCTGACTTTCTTTCTTGCCCCTCTGCTGTAGGGAGTACCTGACAGGCTTCCACAAGCGGAAGGTGGAGCGGAAGAAGGCAGCCATTGAGGAGATCAAGAAGCGGCTCAAGGAGGAGCAGAAGAAGCTCCGGGAGGAGGTGCAGAGGGAGAGGGCAGGAGAGTGTCTCTGACTTCCAGGGGACTTGCAGCCTCGATGGCCCGAAAAGGGGCACCTGCAGGGATGAGGGGAGGTGTGGGCAGGCCTGGGGAGCAGTTTATACAGATAGAGACACCGTGGGCCCAGGTCTGGGGAAGGTTTAGGGTGAGATCTCCTGGCCTTTCTGTTCAAGCCGTGGTCTTACTCACCCTGGAGGTGAGCAGCGCCTCTGCCTGAGGTTGGGCTGAGAGGCCATACTCACCATCTTCCCTTCCCTTTGGTTTCAGCGCCACCAGGAATACTTGAAGATGCTGGCAGAGAGAGAGGAGGCGCTGGGTAATCCCATCCTTGGCCTGTCCTGGAGAATAGCCAACAGGCTGAGTTTATTTATGCCTTGGTGGGTGGGAGGGGAGGGGTGTGAGGGCTGCACAGAAGCTGACGTCCCTTGCTTTAGGGATCTTGGTGGTGACCTGGCAGCCAGGGGTAGTCCTCAGCTGTCTCTAAACGTCAGTGGATCAGAGACCAGGAGGAGATCCAAACCTCTTGGTAAACTGATCATGAGCAGAAAGGCCAGCTTCTGAGGCCTGGAGGGACTGGGGGTGGAGGGGTAGGGGAAGCAGCAGCTCCTGGTGTGGCTCCAACTTTGTCCTGGTGGGGACCAGGGGGTCTGAGGTCTCCCTGGAGCGTGAAGGGAAGAGTTGGGGGTCATTTACAGCATTTGCAGGCCAGGCTCTGGAGCTGGGGGCTTCCTGGATGCCCTCCGATAGAGCAGGGGGGCCACTGCACTCCAGGGCTGGGGGCAGGGGGCGGTGGCTGGAGCCTGCTTACTTGTGCCCTGGGGCTGAGGCCTGGCTCTGTGCCCACTCGCACAGAGGAGGCAGACGAACTGGACCGGCTGGTGACAGCAAAGACAGAGCCGGTGCAGTACGACCACCTCAACCACACGGTCACCGTGACCACCATCAGCAACCTGGACTTCTCAGCGGCCCGGCTGCTCGGACTGCCCCCGCCTGAGGTGGGTCTCCCTCGCGGCCCCAGGGAAGAGGGGACACAGGGGCAACCTAGCTGGCCAGGGGCTCACTAAGTGCGGGTCCATGTCATGGGATTCCAGTGTGAGGGGCTCTTTCCTCTGGGGCACCCTCCAGGGCCTGGACAAAAGCCCTGAGCCTGGGGCTTCAGGGGCCGGCTCCACCACTAGTGGCTGTGGGAACCTGGGCAGGTCTCTCTGCCTTGTCTGCTTCTCTTCACCACTACCTTGGGGTCCCTGATGATAGCAGCTGCCTCGTGGGGTCGCTGTGGAGCATAAAAGTGGTGGATCCACTAGAAGCACGCGAGAGAGCAGTTGGTAGTGATCACTCACTGTGCGGTATGTCTCTGTGGCCTGATCTGTGGGGTGGGAGTCACAGCAAGTTCCAACCAGCATTTTTTTTTTTTAAAGAAAAGGAACACAATATCATTGAAAATATCAGAAAGCATCACAGCAAGTGCTGTCTTATGAAACGTTTGTTTCAGTTAAACTTGTGTTTGGGTCGCGTAGGGGTTTATATGCGTGTGCACGTACAGTCACCAGGTAAACCACAGCCCCGAGCATGGGTTACGGTGTCCTTAAGTTCGAGGGCCACCCCTTTATCACATCCTTTCTGAGCTCACACTCACCTTGTATTTGGTGCTCATTCTTCTGTAAGGTCTGATGCGAAGACCAGTCTCGGCTCCGTCTTAGAGTTCGTTCATTTGTGAGTGTTCGAGTGTGTCCACTGTAGGCTGTGGTGGTGGAGAACTTTGGAATCCAGCTCTGCCCGTGTCATGCCTGCTTTAGGGCACACGTGGCCTTTCTGCCCACGGCCTTCTCTGAGCCCCGACCCAGGTGAGGGAGGCGGCAGGTCATGCCCCCGCGCGACAGAGCCGCAACTACTCAGGGTGCCCAGGCCCCTCGATCCACCGCTCCCTGTGACAGTCCTTCTCCTGTGCTTCTTTAGCAAGGGGCCGGGCACAGGTCTGAGGAGGGGGCGTCATCCGCAGAGAAGCCGACCAGAGCCTTACGCAGGAAGTCCAGAGACCCTCTGCTGTCCCAGCGGTGAGCCCTGGCCTGTCCTCCCCTGTGAGCCTGCTGCTATGGCTGGCGTTGTGAGGGCGCCTGTGGTGGGTGGTGTGGGGCACGTGTGGGGCCCTGGGCAGCTCTCTGCTCTGCTTGTCAAGTGGTCTCCCTCACTGCCCCCCACCTCCATCCCCTGAGAATGTCTGACCCTGGGTACCCCTAGTGCCTGGGGTAAGGGCCATTCTTGCTGTGAGCTGAGGAGCTGGCAGGCCCTCTGGGGACAGAGCGTGCTGCCTTTGGAATGGCGTTCATGGCCTGTCCTGATTTCCCCTCCGTGAGCTGGGCCATCAGTCACCCCCCTGCCCAAACTTCCACCCGCACCTTGTTCCCCAGGGTAGACTGAGGCCCAAGCCTCACCAGCCTTCCGCCCTCCCACAGGATCTCCTCTCTCACGGCCTCGCTGCACGCGCACAGGCGCAAGAAGGTCAAGAGGAAACATCCCAGCCGGGCCCAGGACTCCACCAAGAAGCCCCCAAGCGCCACTCGTACCAGTAAGACCCAGCGCCGCCGGCTAACAGGCCAAGCCCGGCACAGCGGGGAGTGAGCCCTGAGACCCAGGCCGTGCCCCAGCCTCGGCTGCAAGGACCTGTCCTGTCCCAGCTTGGCTGTCCCGTAAGCCAGCCTGCACCCAGGCGCTGACTCCCCAGCCCAAACTTGGGAGGCCAGCACCTCTCCGGCCTGGGGCTTAGACTCCAGCCAACACAGGTGGCTGAGAGCTGGCCTCCGCCAGGGGGAGCCTCCAGGGCCACATTTGGGGCATCTTCCCAAATGTATACCCCACCGAACCTTGATTACATTTGTGAAAGTAAGCGCACGTGTGGACGGTTTGTCCCTGGCCCCCATGCCGCATGCCGAGGGTAGGCGTTTGGGGTGGAGGGAGCTGCTGGGGTGTGGGTCATCCTCACTGTCCAGCAGTCCTCCCTGTGGGCACGAAACGCTAGCGCTAGGCCCGGGCCCCCAACCCGGGTGAAGGCTGGCGCCACCACTGCTAGAGGCCAGGGCCTCCCTGCGGCTCTGGGACCCGGGCCGGTGGCTGAGCAGAGCTGGGCTCTGCCTTTTCCTGGCTGGGACCTTTTGCCTCTTCCTTCTCCTTGGCCCTGTTGGCCTCCTTAGCTGACGTTGAAGGGGTGGAGACGGGGAAGTCCCGGAGTATTCCTCACCCCCCCAAACTTGGGCAGCTGCCCCAGGCTTCCAGCAGCTCCCAGACAGAGCCCCACAAAGAAGGAGCAATTAGTCCCTTGTAAAGAAAATACACCTCCACTCGCCTGAAAGCCTGGCCCTTTCAGAGCAGGCCCCTCATGAGGCCGGCTGGTGCTCGGTGAGGCCTGCTGCTTTTTCACACTTCTTCCAGGGAGACCTTCAGGTGCGGCTTCAGAGCCGATGGAAACCAGCCTGTTAGTGACCCACGTCACTCACACTCCCCGCTCTTCTCCTGACCGAGCTGGGCTGGTGGCAGAATCCAGGTCTAGCTGCCTCAGGTGGATGTGGTGCCGGTGAGGACAGCTGGAGCATCTGTTCTGGAGACTGTCAGACCCCACTTGCGCTGACTGGTTCCTGTGACTCTGGGCCAGGGCACAGGAATTTCAGGTTGCACCCTGATTAGTGGAGCTGTGTCGGGCCCTGACACTAGGACTGCAAAGGCGAGACACATGAGCTCTAGGTCCCTGTGCGGCTGATGGACTAGTGAGTGTGTGTGAGGGGAGCGCAGGTTCTGCTCAGCCGTGGGGCGTGGGGGCTCCTGGAGGAGGGGAGCAGGGATCGGGTGTCCGCAGAGCCGGCCTTCCCCTCCACTCACCCCGTGGCGGGGCTGCCAGGAGCAGCCCTGGCCCTGCACTGGGCAGGCGTTCTCCCCTGTCACCATCAGCCCGCCGTCTGGTGCTGGCTGCTGCGGGTCTGAAGGCCACACCTGGCCATGGGAATGTGAAGCTCAGGGCTTGTGGCTGGGAGGCCCGGTCACCTGGTTTCTTGGCTCCTTCCACCTGCTCTCCCTGCTGCCTTCCTGTTGTCCTCCCCGTGCTTGGGGTGGGGCGACTTGCCCCATTCGGCTGCCTCTATCCAGGGCAGAGGGCAGAGCTTGTACAAGCTGTCCAGGTGGTTCTGGTACTTGCCCCGGGGCAGTGAGTCTCTCCCTCACAGCCCCTTGTGATCAGGAGCAGAGATGAGCCCGGGGAATTCGCACACACAGCCGGGCTGGGGTTTGAGTCCTGGCTCAGCCGCTGGCCCACTGTGTGAGCTCCTCACTGCTGACTTCACTGGGACTGTTTCCCCACGTGTGAGATGTCATAAGACACCTATCTCGCAGGCCTGCCTGGAGGCTGAAGGGAGACCACGTGCATGAACCTCTTCCCACGGCTGACTTTCCCAGGTTTGTCTTCCGTGTGTGCGTGGCTGCCGCTGAGACACCATGCCGGGCTCTCCTCCACCCCCAATGACATAGGATGTTTTACAACTTACACCTACATTTGTAATGTTTACTAGTATTAAGTTCTCATCCACTTTCTCCCACGTGTGCCCTCGGAAACCAGCAGACCAAGGAAATTGAATCATGGTAATTTTTGCCAGTCCTAAGATTGAAAGTGATAGAGTCAGAACTCTCTGGAGAACTTGTCTTTTCTCTCCATGTTCTACCTGGATTCTTCCTGTCACTCCCCATCCTGTGGGCCCTGTGGTTTGGGACCTCTAGGAGGTTAATCAGGAAAGATTAGATTTAGCTACATGTAATATGAAACAAGATTTTAAAATAACTGGCTTATGTAAGCGAGGAATTCTCAGGTTAACAAAGATGGAAGGTAGCTAGCCTGGAGTGGAGATGGCAGGCTTTTAGCTTTTTGTTTTGTGCCATTTTCAACACATGGGTTCCACCTCGTGGTCCGGGATGAAGGTCAGGGCCCTCCTTTTAGGAACACTTGATGCTTGTGCTATTAGACAGGAGGCAAAGGCTTAGGGCAGGAGGAAGAGGGAGCTCCCAGTTGCAGGGAAGGCTGGGGTCCGTGGTCTGTTCTGGAAAACCGTGTACCCACTAAGAATTGGGGATTGCGTTACTAACGGGAGAATTGGTATTGGGGTGCAAGCAGCAGATTCTCACACAGGAGCCAAATATGTAAAGGGCTGTCCAGAGGGGATCCAACTGTGGAACTAAAGCCATAGCAGACACTCATCCAGATGTTCCTGTTACCGCACTGAACTTCCCAGATGGGTCAGGCCTATGCTAGTAAAACAAGGAGCAATGGCCATGGTTACTGGGAGCCAGGCCTCTGCTCAGTAGAGGAAAGAACTCTCCTAGTAGGATCCATTTTGGGGTGGCCTGATTCTCCCCCGGGGGCTGAGGTGAGCAGGCCGGGTGGAGCTGCCCGCCAGCGCCTGAAGCTGAGGAGGGGAGGGATTTGATGTTAAGCCTCAGCTTCCTTCCTCTCCAAAAACCCCTTGACCTTGATGTTCCCTAGACTTGAGCTGTTGCCCTCCCTTTAGCTGTGTGGAGGACTCTGGGGAGGGGTTCCCAATTCATCCTGAGCTTGGAGGGCTCACTGCCTGCTCTTTTGTGAGCAGGTCCATCTTAGAAAAGCCCTCCTGGGACTTCGTTGTTGGTCCAGTGGTGGTTAGGACTCCGTGCTCCCAATGCAGGAGGCCTGGTTCGATCCCTGGTCGGGGAAATAGATCCTGAATGCTGCAACAAAACTAACAGATCCCACTTGCCACAACTAAGACCCGGCACGGCCAAATAAATAGTTATTAAAGAAAAAGAAAAAAGAAAAGCCGTCCTGTTCTGAGCAAATATCTGCCTCCTCCAGATGCCAGAGAAGCCCTTTAGGTGTTTGCACTCTGCCCTCCGCCTTTCTCACCTCGGCTCTGAGCTGCCTCCTCTGGGAAGCCTTCCCTGATACCTGGCAATCAGTCATTTCTCCATCTGGGCTCCCGGGATACTTTGCGTTTCTTTCTTTTAAACACTGAACGTATTATAACCTGGTTACCTCTTTCCCCCCAGCCAGGCCCTGAGCTTTCTGAATGGGAAGTTGTGTCGGTCATTTCTGTGTTTCTGCTCTTGAAACAAGACCTGAATCGCTGTAGGTTTTTGGCCAGTCCTGGCTGGATTACACTGGACCCATTCCCCCTCCTCACAGGTGTTCCCACGTAACCCTTGAAATAATCTTTTTGAGATTTTCTTGGCCCTAGTGCCATTCTTTCCTGTCTGCAAGTTTCCGAATCTAGTTTTTTCTCCTGATCGCCACAACCATCTCCCGTGGGCCCTTGCTGAAACCTTCCCTGTCCAGTGAGCTTTGCCCTCTCCCTTCCCCCTTAGCCATAATGATTGGCAAATAACCAAAAGAAGGAGGATGGAAAACAAATTTACCAAGCACCTCCAATGTGCCAGTGATGACATTAACTCAACAACAGCACTGTGAAGTGGGTACTAGCTCCATTCGACAGTTGAGAAAACTGAGTCTCAGGTTAAGTTACATCAAAAGTTACCCCGTTACAGATAATAAGACATGATCCTCAGGTCTCATGAGGGAGACAGACACATAGAGATCACCCTGGAGGTCGGTTCAATAAAGTATAGGCCCAGGGGCCACAGAACAGAGAGGAGGCAACATTGAAAGGAATCTTGGAAGATGGCTTGGCCAGGTGGATGGGAGAGGGGATGGGCAGGCCGAGAGCCCTTGGTGAGCAAAGGTGGGGGAGGGGTGGTCAGAGGAGAGGAGAAAGCTGCAGAGGCCGGCAGGGACCAGACCCTTAAGGGCCTCAGATACTGAGCTAAGGATCTGGACCCTTATCTTGGGGCAGCGGGAGCCTCCGATGTGGGAGTGGGGGTTGAGCCTGGGGAGAGTCAGAGTCAGGGATTCATTTGAGAGAAATCTCCCTGGTGGCAGCGTCAGGGTGCACCAGGGGGACTGGAAGCTCCAAGACCCTCCAGCAATAATCCAGGGGAGGGGTGGGTAGACCCTCCTCTCCTGCAGGCACCACGTGCTCTCTCACCAAGTGTTTACTGAGCACCGGTAGGGAAGTGCTTAGTAAAGCACCAGTATTGGGTGGTTAGCACTGGGGATACACTGGTGAGCAAGACAGGGTGGTCCGTGCCCTCCAGGGACTTACAGTCCCTGAGCTGTTTCTATAGGGACAGAGAGGAGGAGAGATGATAACATTTTCTGAGCACTCGCTGTATACCAGTCACTCTTTACCTGGTTCAACTCACTGAGTTCTCACCATAACCCCACAGGGTAGGGAATTCCATTAAGCCCATTTTGCAGGTGAGGCACATTGAGATGCCCCCCAACCCTACCCTGATGTCCTCCAGGACACTGTTTTAGCTGAGTTCTAACTGCTCACTGTCTCTCAGTTGGAGCTGGGATTTAAGCTGAGAGTCATCTCTGGCTGGGCACATGTACATCTCCAGGGAAGGATCAAGAAGGTAGATATACCCAAGCCATGGGTCCTTCCGCAAAGAAATAAGTCACACCCTAGATACCTACATTAACACTGCCGGACTAGCTGAACAAACCCAAAGAAACGGGAGGCGGAGATCCAGGATCTTACCTCCAGGGGGCGCCACTCACGTGGTCGACAATGTGAAAGACACCCCAGGAACAACGGGAGTCTTGCACAGGAGCCCGGCAGAGTGAGCCCTCACTTAAGGCTGGGGAAGCCAGGGAGGGCTTCCTGGAGGGGGTGGGCATTTAAGCCATAACTAAAGGATGAAAATCTGTGATTTACCATTTCAGAGACACTGCATAAAAGAGAAGTCCTGAGGATTAGTTTGATTTGACTCACATAATGTTTAAAAACAATTTGACTTAGCCATATTTAAAATTTTTTGAGGTTTTATATAAAAGTTCAGATTTCCAGCTTCAGCTTCTGCAGGCTTTGGATCACCACTTTACAGGGTAGGTAGCTTTGGGCTGGAGCCAGCCCTGACGACTGCTTTAGAGACTCATACCTTCCAGCCCCTGCTCCACTGGGTCACAGCCCCCTGCATCGCTGCCTTGCCTGCCCAGACCATGTGACACTCCAACAGGCCTGTGAGCCCTGAGGCCTGGGATGACCCTTCCCGCTTGATCAGTGAGGAAACTGAGGCTCAGGGGGGTAGAGTGGGATTAGAACTGTCACTTACTGTTCTGCTTCCCCAAATCTCTGAAGAGGTATGTCTGCGCCGAGGGGAAGGGCGTGAGCCAAGGGGTGGAGGTGAGCAGGCACAGACTCTTCAGGGAGCAGAAAGGGGAATGGGAGGCTGGGGCTAAATGGTGACAAGTGGGACGCTGCCCTGGCTGTCACCATTATGCCCTGAGCCATCCCACAGAACTCAAGAGTGTGTTTTCAGACCAGGCACTGTCATCGAGGGTCTGGGTGGCTTTGGGCAACTTGCTTGAGTCTTGAGTTTCCCATCTGTACAATGGGGTTGTAGCTGCCCTTCCCATCACAGGGATGAAAGCACCACTGTCCCCCACAGGAGGGTGCTCCCTCCAACAGACCCCTTCACTCGTCCCAACACACCCTTGGCTCACCGGCCCCCTTCAGGACCCTGGCTGCTGCCCAACCCCGATCCCCCCACCGCAACTGTTTTCCCTGCCCTGGAGGAATGCAACCAGGTAGCTCCAGAGCTGCAGAGAGCACTCAGGACAGCCCACCAATCCCACCCACTGACTCTCCCCCTCACCTCCTTATTCTTTCCCCTCCAGCCTCACTGCTTCTTTCCCCTCAGCCTGAAATGCTTTTCCCAGGACCTGCAGGCTCACTGCCACGTCTTCTCCAGGTTTTTGCTCAAAGGTCGCCATCTCAGAGACGCCAACGCCGACCACCTTATTTATTTATTTTTTAATGTTTAACATTTTCTAAATTTATTTTTGGCTTTTTGTAATGTTAAGTAAGAAATAGAGCCATTGGAATTGTTTTATTGACTAAATATATATGTGTATATATATGAGATCCAGCTGTAAATACTTCCTGACCACCTTATTTAAAAAGTAATGCTCTTGGGCTTCCCTGGTGGCGCAGTGGTTGAGTCCGCCTGCCGATGTAGGGCACATGGGTTTGTGCCCCGGTCCGGGAAGATCCCGCATGCCGCGGAGCGGCTGGGTCCATGAGCCATGGCCGCTGAGCCTGAGCGTCCGGAGCCTGTGCTCCGTAATGGGAGAGGCCACAATGGTGAGAGGCCCACGTACCGCAAAAAAAAAAAAATAATGCTCTCCCCACACCAGCCACTTCCAACCCCCCGACCCCTTTATTTTTCTCCTTAGCACCTATCACCAGCCGACATACTCCATGTATTGCTTCTTTATCTTGTTTGGGATCTGATCTGTTTGTCTCCACTAGAATGTAAGTGCCACAAAAATAGGAGGTTCGCTCTTTTGTTCACTGATGTGTCCTCAGCACACACAACAGACAAAGTAGGGGCTCTGTAAGTATTGAATGAATTGAAGTGTCAGGAGTGCCACGCTGAGTTGGCCCCAGATTTTACTGGTTGGTGGGGGCTAGAGAGCTGGGGCCATACCCAGAGTTTCAAACTCAAACCAAGCACCCACCCACCCCCTGACTCAGAGAGGTCAAGTAACTGTCTCAGGATCCCATGGCCTCACTACAAGTGCTAGAGCCTCGCTGCTCCCTGTATTGCTTACAGTAATTGGGACTGAACAGAAAGATCATTATCCTTGTTATGAAGGTGTGCTTTCATCCACTCCGTCCTGTGCCAGGATGACCTGTTCAGGGGTCTGTCTCTCCCCCCTGGTCAGTGGGCTCCCCCTCTCAGAAGGAGCCACGTTTTATTCATGTTACCATATCCCTGGTTTCCAGCACAGGCCTGGCATGTACCAGGTACCTGTGAATGTCTGAACTAGTGAATGAAGATGCTCTGTATTGGCCAGTGGAGTCCAGACACACCAGGGTTTTAGTCTTGGCTCTGCCACTTACTAGCTGGGTGACACTGGCGAATTTGTTCATTTCTCTGATCCTGGTTGCTGGGAAATGAGGATCTTGGTACTTAATCCTTCAGGTTACTACGTCCTCATAGACGTAAAGATTTTGGAATAGAAGCTGGCATAGTGCAGAATGTTAGCTTAGAAAAGAAGGCATATTTTTTAAAAAGGGGGAGCTTTGCATTTTGTGAGTGAGCTCCACATCAGTGGAAGTGTGCAAATGGATGTGCAAATGGTCGAAAACCCCTGGGCATTTCATTTCATCCTCACAGGTACTACTGCCACCTCCATTTTACAGATAAGAAAATTGAGACGCAGAGCCAAAGCCAGCCTAGGAGACTGTGGCGGGAACGAACCGAAGGGAAAGAGATTAAAAAGAGCCAGAACCGCCAGTGCCAGCCCTTTCAAGAACCCCCTGGGAACCCTGCCACTGCTGCTCGGGCTGAGCGTGCAGCGGGTCTGGCACTCTGAGGCTTCTGGGCGCCGCCCGCCTCCGCCCCGCCCCTTGTCCTCGGGTTGTCCAATCCCAAGGTCTTCATGTAAATGAAGCACCTAGAAAAAGCCTATGCGAGAGCGGCAGGGGCGTGGTCTTCGTCCACCTTCCAGGCAACGTTCTGATTCATTGTTAAAATAGAAAGGCTGTGACCCCTGGCACCTCACCCCAGCACCCCCTTGTGTGTGGAAACCCGAGCCGAGGTTAGTACCGCGAGCGGAAAGGTTGAGAGGGAGGAAAGGCTAGTGGGAAAAGGTAGAGGGCTGAGGGACACGAGGAGGGACTGTCTGACTAGCTGGATGGAGGGAGGTCCAGGGGTCCATTCCCCGGGTGGGGCATGCATGTCCGCTGAAGGTTTTTCATTGTTATATCCACACCTAAAGTGCATTTTAGAGAAGGATTCTGCCAATTGGTTGGGGGTGGGAGGGGGAAGCGGGAGCAGTGAGGGGCATGTGTATAAGAGCACCCCACACCCGCCCACAGGGGATTAAAGCTGCTTTCTCAGTCCGAGGCGTTGCTCCTTTATGTGGCGGGATTGGGAAGGAACCGCCCAGGCTGGGCAGGACGGATACCTACTCTCTGCACTACTGGGAACAGGGAACGACGTAGGGAGATAACAGCTCGGGGAGAATTGGAGACCCCGGGGCCACTGAAGTGCCAGTGGTGCCCCCAACCTCCACCGTGCCCTGCCACTTCCTCAGGTTTGATGGTGAAGGAGCCAGGAATCTTCTCCCTGGTTGCCCCAGGGGAGGATGTGAAATTCCCCAGCTCTCCGCCAAGATTGGCAACTAAGGCCAGATCCCCTGCGATGCTTTGGAGGAAACTCGACAGGTATGAGCAGACGACCTGGGGTCACAGTAAGGTGCATGTGTGTTTGGGGATATGGATTCCTCTCACCCCACCCCGCTTGCTGGGGTGAGGAGAGCATCTTCAAGTCACTCTTCTGACGGGGCTCCCCCGCCCCGCCAGGGCATGGGGTTGGAGCCCTCAGTGGCACCCAGAGGAAGAGCCCTGTGCTCAGCACACCAGGGGTTCTCTTTGGCTGAGCTCTTCCAGACTTGCAGAGTGACCTTATGTTGTTCACTTTCATCCATGATTTTGTTCTCAGTTCTGAAAATACCTGGCTGGCCACTTGCCTCACTCTCAGGGTTTCCCGAGGGACCTGTGTGATCCAGTGTCCCTCACGCCCACCTCTGAGAGGATGGGGAGGCACAAAGACTGGGTTTGAATCCAGTTCAGCCACTGGGCCTTTGAACAAGTTATGGAATCTCTGTGAGACTTAGTTGCCTCATCTGAAATTATCATTAATTTTATCTACAGTGCAGGATAACTGTAAGGCAAGGGTACTCAAACTTTGGGGTGCATTGGAATCGCCTAGGAGACATGTATAAAATGCATTGTATAAATGCCTTGTATAAGTGCCTCACCTCCAGAGATTCTGGCTGGGTGGATCAGGGAAGGAACTGGGGATATGCATTTTATGAGCAGCTCAGCTGAGTCTAATGCAGGGTCCTCAAAATACACTTTGAGCAACACTGCAGTAATGACTAGAAATCACATGTCAAATGTTTGGCAGAGTGCCTGGTGCTTAGGAGGTGCTTAATGAGTGTTTGTTGAGTGAATAAGTGAACAGGTGAAAGAATTGATGGATAACCTCATTTCCTTGGTCCTTGGCGGTCTGGGGGCAAGCTGGGGCTGGAGTCCGGGTGGGCTGCCAGCCAGTCAGCTGGTCTTTGCCTCCCCCCGACCCCTAATTCTTCCCAGGCCCCGCCATCGGATTGCAGGAGCTGCCCTGGCCTGATTCAACTGATATGGAGGGGTTGGCTGGGAATGCCCCCTGTGACCACTTTGAAGCTAATGTGCTTGCCCAGAGATGCTGTCAAAACTGCTTTCACCCTGAGGAGGCCCACAGAGCAAGGCATCAGGTAGGCAGGCTTTCCTGAGTGGTGGTTTGGGACAGGGGTGTCTGTGATGGGGGTGCCTGGCTGGGCCACTAACTTGCAGCTGAACTCAGACACTGACCTTCCTTGTGGTCAGAGCCTCAGTTTTCCCAGTCTGTACAATGAGGTGGTGGGACCATGTTAATGCTTCCCAAATGCCAGTTATTCTCCTCCTGCTCTTATGATTTTTTTGCCAAGCCTCATATAACCTATTACTTACCGTACTGTCCATTAAATCAATACGCATTTTTTCACTTATATTAAAACAAAACTTTACATCACCACCACAAATAGAAAACTAGAATCATATCCTTTATATAGAAGGTTCAAAGGAAAGAATAAAAGAGGAAAAAAAAAACAACCCAGAAATGTCACTAAATTCTAACTAGAGAGTGTTGTCAGCTAAAGGTTCTGAGCCTGAGCCCTGCTGTCTCTCTGTTAAAAAGGGAGATTGGTAGGTGTTAGCCATTAAAGATACACACATCCACTGGAGACTTTCTCCTTGAAGGTACTGAAGGAGTAAAAGGGGAGGCATTTTCTCACTTTGTGATGGATGAGGTTTCAGGCTAAGCCCTGGTCCAAGTAAACCCAGAGCTCTGAGAAGCACGGGACTGTGAATCTCCAAGGGCGCTGCAGCCTTGACCCCCTCATGGCTCTGCGTCATTCTCAGTGAGACTTGAGGCTCCCCTTGAGCCTGGCCGCCATCTCCATGCAGGCATTAGCCTCTAAGAGGTGGCCAATATAAGGGAGTTGCTGTTCAGCTTTGGAGCCAAGCAGACCAGAGTTCCAGTCCTAGGTTTGCCATTTACCCGCTGTGTGACCTTGGGTCATTGACTGCTCTGGTTTCACTCTCCTAATGGGTAAAGTGGGGCAACAAGTCTTCTCACCCAGGGCATCTGGCCCTGCTTAGCCCAAGTCACATGTGGCTAATTCGATACACATTCGTTTCCTTTCTTCCTCCTTCCCGACCAGAAAAGTCAACCTGGGAGATTCTTTTCTACCTGTCCTGATACCTCCAAAAACAGCTCCCCTACCCTCACCCCCAAGTTCAGGGAGCAGTTGCCTGAAATCCCTTTGAGTCCATCTCCCATGCAAATGACCTTCTCCCGATGGGTGGGGAGATGGCAAGCCTGGAACAGGAGGAGAAGCTTGGATTCAGACAGGTCTGAGTTCTAGTCTCAGTCCCACCACTTCCCAGTTGAGACCCTGGGCCAGCTCATGTGTTCACATATATTGAATCGGTGCTTAAAATGTGCCAGGCATTATGCTAGATATTGGGGAAACAGTGACAAATAGAACAGACACAGTTCCTGGTTCATGGGCTTGTAGTCTAGCAAGAGAAATGGAGACTAAGAAAGTAATCATGCAAATAATTTTTTAATCATGGTTGTGATAAATGTAAAGGAACAGCAAGTGGCATGAGGGTAAATGATAGGGCATTCGGGGAATGTTTCTCGAAGGAAATGATACTTTAACCGCTTGGTAAGGGCTATGAGGGCATCGCCAGTGAAGCTGGGGTAAGAGGAGTGGAAGGGAACAATAAGTGCAAAGCCCCTGAGGCAGAAAGGAGGAGGCACACTGGAGGGTGGAGAGAAGCCAAGGATGGAGAATGGGGTGGGGGCTGGGTCTCACCGGCCTGTGGGGACTTGTGGACATGCTGAGAACCTTGGACTTTTTCCTGAGAGGCATGGGGAGCCACTAAAGATTTTAAACAGGGGAGTGACGTGATCAGGTTTGCGTTTTCAAAAGTCGCTCTGGCCGCAGGACAGAGAATGGACAGCAGGGAGTGAGAGTGAACAAGGTGGCCAATTACTCATACCAGAGGTGACAGAGACTTTGTTTTTAATTAACTCATTTTATTTTGGCCGCACTGGGTCTTCATTGCGGCACGCGGGCTTCTCTAGTTGTGGCGCGAGGGCTTAGCTGCGGTATGTGGGATTTTAGTTCCCCAGCCGGGGATTGAACCCAGGCCCCCTGCATTGGGAGCATGGAGTCTTAACCACTGGAGTACCAGGGAAGTCCCTGATGCTGGAGATTTCGAGATGGAGACAAATGGACACATTTCAGAGCTAACTGAATAGGAGAATCTAAAGGATTTGGTAAATGAGTAACGTGGAGAGGCTGGAACGTGGCTGACTGCTGTGTTATTTTCTGAGGCAGAGTTCTTGGAATGGGAGGCCCGTTTGGAGTTGTTTGGGGTGGTGAGTGGGAGGTGCCTGGGGGACACACTGGAGATGAGAGGAGTTTACTTAATATGAGGAGCTCAGGAGCCAGACCTCTGCAGGAGATAGAGGCTTTCAGGTCATCAGGATCTGGCGCTGATGAAAGTCCTGCTCATGGATGAACAGTTTCAAACGTAGAGTCCCAAAATCTGTGTGTTAAGAAAGCATCCCCCAGCCAGATCCTTAATTACACTCCAGCACACACTCATCCCTGAGGGGCCTGATAAAGGTATCACCTGGGGCTAGAGCCAGTTCTGACATCTTCACCTATGTTAGAAAATGCAGGGACTTCCCTGGTGGCGCAGTGGTTAAGAATCTGCCTGCCAATGCAGGGGACATGGGTTCGAGCCCTGGTCCGGGAAGATCCCACATGCCGTGGAGCAACTAAGCCCGTGAGCCACAACTACTGAGCCCATGTGCCACAACTACTGAAGCCTGCGCGCCTAGAGCCCGTGCTCCACAAGAGAAGCCACCGCAATGAGAAGCCTGCGCACCGCATTGAAGAATAGCCCCTGCTCACCGAAACTAGAGAAAGCCCGCACGCAGCAACGAAGACCCAATGCAGCCAAAAATAAATAAATAAATAAATTTATTTGAAAAAGAAAGAAAGAAAGAAAGAAAATGCAGAAAGGGCCCCAGGTCACAGAGCAAAGCTTTCCCAGAAGCTTGCTCCAGCTCCCCATGATCCTGGGCTCTGGATGCATCTCTGCTCTGCTCTCAGCTGAGTCTCCCAGGCTGGGAGGTGTGAGGAGAGCTTATCCCTGGAAATCACACAGCCTAGACCAGGTCATGGCCAGGTTCTGGATGGAGGGGGGAGGGTCTTGCTGTATGCCAGGCCCCACACATTCCTTTTCAATGCATCTATTCTTAAGTATCTTTAACATTTTATTGACTTAACACTAATAAAATTCTATTGAATGTTTTTACATTATTTATTATATTTAAGATGTACAGACCTGGTGGCGCTCTAAGCCCTTTCACTCATATTAACTCAGTGAATTCTCATAACACCCCTAGGGAGTGGGTCCGTTAATCACCTCCGTTTTGTAGATGAGGAAACCAGGCTCAGAGAGGGAAGTCGCTGGGCTGAGGTCACCCAGCTGGGAAGTGGAGGCGCCAGGATTGGGCCTGATGACTGTCTGAGGCCAGAGCCCGTGCTGACCCGCCAGACAGGAAATCAGAGCTGGGGATTAGTTGCTGGGCCTACTCGTGTGGATGGTGGGTAGTGACGGGGGCTGGAGGTGAAGGCAGGGAGGAGGTACCACGACAGGCTGGGGCTCCTGCCGGGCCCAGCTGGGCTGGGACCCCTCGATGATGCCCAGAGTGCCGCTCCCTCCTTATTCACGCGGCAAGGTCCCCAGGGTAGCCAAGGCGCCAGGCCGGGCTGCAGATCTGACACCTCCCGCTATGGAGCGCTGATCAGAATCTGGCTCCCGGGCAGGGGGCGAAACTGAATCCAGAAGGGCCTTCCTTCTCTGGCTTGGATGGTGCGGCAGACACCCCAGCCCCACTCCTTGGCACTGCCCAGGTCCCAGAGTGGCGGCCTTCTTGGAACCCGGAGACTCTGTGCCCACCCCAGGGCTGCGGCCAGGCTGTGGCCTCCGCCCCGGTTCTGGGCTCCAAGGTCCCCAGGGAGCCCGGGCCCAGGCCCCCGCCCGGCCCCGCTCTCAGGTGAGCCTCGAGGATCGGGTTCCTGCGGTTTCATGTCCTGCATTGTTCTTGGCTGGGCCCCGGCTTATGAAACAGTAATGAGGGGCCCCTGCTCTCGCAGCCGGCCCCTCTAAGGTTTCCACTGCCTCGGCTGCCGCCACCTCGGCCCAGAGTCGGGGCCTGGGAGGGCAGCAGCATGGGGGCCTGAGTTGGAGCCCCCCGGGTACGAGGGTGCTGACAGCCGCCAGCCGCCACTGCCGGAGCCCGCCGCCCAGGTAATCCGAGAGGAGGCGGGGTGCAGGGTGCTGTGGCCGCTGTCCCCCTCACCGGGGGGAGGGCCCTGCCACCCTGGGAGGTGGGGAGGAATGGGGGGGCCTTCCCGGAGGCGAGCAGCCGTTCCCCCGGGTGAGCCCAGCACCAGCCTTTGCAGGTGTGGCCCTGCTCAGGGCAGGAGGGAGAGAGAAACCCTCAGCCAGCTCGGGGGCCCTGACCCCAACCCCTGGAGCCTTGACCTTCCAGCCCTGGAGCCCCCTGGCCCTCCTTTAGGAGCGCACATCTCTCCTTTTCTCCAAGGTCTTCCTTCCCATCTCCTCCTCTCTCAGACTACCTCTTCCTGCCTCAGACATTTTCCTTCATCCTCTGGACTAGCTTAATCCTCCCTCTCCCTCCTCATCCTTGAGTTCTGGCAACAGAAGACCCTTTTGGATCCTTTAGTGCACTTCACATCCTCAGGCACAGACTCATACCTATGTGCCGACACACACGTGCTTGCTTGTGTACACAAGTCAGGTGGGTATGCTAATGCGTGTGTTTATAAACACATATAAATAAACGTACATGCACTTATGCAAACAGACACATCAGTGTACCCACCAGACATGCATACACATGCGTGCACATGCGCATACTTGCACACACGCAGGAATTTATACGAACACATACCTGTAGACATGTGCGCATGCACATAACCTGTACCTCTGCCAGCCCCCAGCTTGGGTCCCAAGGAGCACTTCCAGTCTGATGGACAGCTCTCCCTGAGAAGTGGAGATCCCAGGAGGAGCTGTCGGGAGACTCTTCCACACCGCCTGGTGGGGGGAGGGGCTGCACAGGGGGAGGGGAGCCCCCACGTGGGCGACGAGCTGCCTCCTCTCCGACTCTATCTCAGGAGCCCGGGAGCCCTCCAAGTGCTGAGGCGCCCTACTGCGACCTGCCACGCCGCCCAGCCGCCCCTGAGGACCCACTCGGTGCCTCGACCTCCAACTGCCAGTCTGTGGTGGGTTCGGGCCTTGGGCCAGGGCCTGAAAGGTGGGTAGAACCCTGGGGCCTGAGGAGGGGTTCCCGGGGTTGGATGCCCTCACCCATCCCACCCCACACCCCTTCATGATGGCAGCCTCCGTCTGTGATGGCTGCTGTCGTGGGTCACATGGTCAGTCCACTCGGCCTGGGTACAGGCAGCAGTGGGCATGTTCCATGGGCCCTAGCTCAGGGGATGGAGCAGCGTGCACCCACCCTGCAGTGGGCATGGCCCACAGCCCACTCACATTTCCTGGTTCCCTTTGCACTGCTTTAAAAGATTAAACAGTCTCAGCACCCAGGGGCGCTTTTTATCACCCACCTACCTGACCATGCACTGCCCCTAGGCTCTGGAATTCTCTCCACCCCGGGGCCTGAGTTGGACTGAAGTCCCTCTTTGGGGCCATGGTGCCTTGGGAGGACATGGCTGAGGATCTAGAGACCTGGGTTCCAGCTTCAGCTCCTTTCCTGATGGGCTGTGGGACCTTGGGCAAGTTATTCCCTCTTTTTATACCTCAGTTTCCCTGTTTAAAAAAGAAGAGGGATTGAATCAAATCAGCATTGTTTTGCGAACATGTGTTCCTCATAGGTAGGCATTATTTTACAAAAAACTAAAAACAGCTCTGCCATCAAATATGTTTCAGAAAGTCTGGTATAAACAAATTGGAATATTGTTTTTTGCAGGACTTGTCAGAGCTTTTAGTTTGCTAGCAGGCACTGTGCTTTTGGGTGGGGAAGGTAGGAGAAGAGTGTAATATGTCTCAAACTTATTTGACCACAGACCTCTTCTAAGGGTCATCACTCATTTCTGTCTCATAGGCCAATTTGTGGGTCACTCTCTTTTTTTTTTTTAATTTTAGAATTTTATTTATTTTTTATACAGCAGGTTCTTATTAGTTATCCATTTTATACATATTAGTGTATATACGTCAATCCCAATCTCCCAGTTCATCACACCTCCCCACCACTTTCCCCCCTTGGTGTCCATTGTGGGTCACTTTTTGGGGATACTGCCAGCTCTAACCTACTGGCTTCTTTAAAGCAGGGCTTTCTCTACAGCTCCCTCCCTTGGCATCCAGACCGGTGGCCCTGTCACTGCCCCTGGAGCCCTGCTCCCTCTCAAAGCCCCCTATTAGCCCAGCATGATTCTGTCTTAGTCTTACAGAGCTTGGGGTCCTCTCTCCTGCTCCAGTAACATGGTGGGGGTTGAGGCCACAGCCCTGGTTCACAGTGCATCTCTGCCTTTTCCTAGCTCTGTGACCTTGGCCAGTCCCTTGACCTCTCTGAGCCTCAGTTTCTTCATCTGTAAAATGGGAATCTTTACACTCACTTCGAAGGGAGGCTGTTGGAGCTAAACGAGGCAGCCCACGTGAAGGGTAGAACACAGGCAGCCCTCGGTGTTAGCTCCCTCCTCCACTCAAAAGTGAGGTGTGTGTGCACCTGGGTGGTGGTGGGGTGTTACTCCTTAATTCCCATCACTTTGAGGGAAAAAGTCATGGGTCTGTCTCCTCTCCCAGGGGCCCATCAACAGGGCTCCCTGCAGAGGGCCTCACAGCCGCCCCCAGGAGCCAGGAACCCGAGGCAGCACCCTACCTGGAGGGCCTGGCCTCCTCCCTCTGCGGCAACTTCAACGAGAGCCCTGACTCTGGCACCAGCTCCAGCCCTGACTGCGAAGCCCCTGATGATACCAGCGACTCGTCTTCCGTGGTGAGAGGGGGGCGGGAGGCCAGGGCAAGAGCAGGTGTCTGCCCCTGGGCCAGCCCTGGGGTCCCACGCAAACCCCCAGACGGGGCTGAGCCTCTCACAACAGGGAACGGAGCCGAGGTCCTCTGGAGCCTTAGCCAGCATGTTGGGCTGCCCCAGACCCTGCACCTGGGAGGGACCGGGGGCTCTGCAGGGCCAGCCCAGGAGGCTGAGGGTCTGGCTCTGAAAAGATGGAGGCAGGTGTTTCAGTTGACAGGGAGCTCGTGCATCATCAACGGGCTCCAGCTGCCAAAAACTCTCAGTTCACGGAGGGCCAGGATGTTGGGTGTGGTATCCAGATCAGGAGTGGGACTGGACCTAGGCCCTGCCCTGGTCACACACTGCTAAGCCCCATGGCCAGCCCTGGCATAGATATCCGAGGGTCAGAGGAAAGGGAGCAGGCTGTAGGGCCTGGCAAGGGCGGGGGGCTATTTAGCCAGGAGAAGAGGAGACTCAGGGGAACTTCTTGGGACATGCGACCCTCAAAGTGTTGTCCCGGGACAGAAGAGGCAGGCTATCCAGGAGACCCCAGGGGAAAGTGATAAGATTCAGAATAAAACGATCCAGCCCTGCAGGCATTGTCTCAGGAAGGCTCCACTCTGAGGTGGAGAGTTTTATGTCCCTGTTTTGGGGACAGAAATCTGAGGCTCAAAGAAGGGAAGTGACTTACTTGAGGCCACACATCTGGGAAGTGGTGGGGCTAGACTTTAGGGGTTTTTTTGTTATTATAAATTTATTTATTTATTTATTTTTGGCTGCATTGGGTCTTTGTTGCTGTGCGCGGGCTTTCTCTAGTTTTGTTGAACGGGGGCTACTCTTCAATGTGGTGTGTGGGCTTCTCATTGCTGTGGCTTCTCTTGTTGCGGAGCACGGGCTCTAGGCGCGTGGGCTTCAGTAGTTGTGGCATGCGGGCTCAGTAGTTGTGGTGCACGGGCTTAGTTGCTCCGCGGCATGTGGGATCTTCCCGGACCAGGGCTCGAACCCGTGTCCCTTGCATTGGCAGGAGGATTCTTAACCACCGCGCCACCAGGAAAGCCCCTGGGGCTAGACTTTGAACTTACCTACTTCTCTCTGGATCCTGGGGGTATCTCTGGGGCAGGGACCGCTATTTGAAGGCCCTCCTACCACACGGAGTCTGACTACCCTGGGTTCAAGTCCCCTCCCATATAAACCATTTCCCAGCTGTGTGACTTTGGGCAAGTTCTTAGCACCAAGGGACATACCTACTGCACAGGGTTGATTGAACCTTCACTGAGTTCACACCTTCCAAGAGCCCAGCACAGTCCTGAGCATACAGCAGGTGCTCTTGCAATGTCAATTCCCTTTCCTTCCATCTATCCATTTCATGCTGGGAGTGCAGGCCCTGGGCTCTCTCTCCTTGCTCTCCAAACAGGCTTTCTCCTCCCCTTCCCTGGCAGGACTGGGACACTGTTGAGAGGCAAGAGGAGGCCCCCAGTGGGGACAAGTTCACCGTGATGATCCCACGGAAGCCACAGGAGGGGCCAAGGGCTGACAGTGCCCGAAGGGCTCCTCCTCTCCTCACCCGGTCCCCTGTAGGAGGAGACACTGCAGGCCAGAGAAAGGAGGGTGAGTACCTTCTGCCAGGCCAGGTTGGTCCCTGTGACCACAGGTGTGGTGATGGCCAGGGGCCTGGGAACCAGATAACCATTTCTCTGGCCGCGTGGGCCCCTGGGTACATCTTACTTTGACAGCTTGAGTCTTAATAACAGTAACGGTCCCCATATAATTATGGAGCAGGCAATGTGCCATGCAATCTGCTTTAAATACATCATCTTGCAACTGGTGGGTCAGGATCTTCAGGTTGCAAGTGATGGAAACTGGCTGAGTAAAAGTCTAGAGGAATGCCTTCGGGCATGGCTGGATCCAGGTGTGCAAATGGCATCAGAAATCTGGTGTCTGCTCTTCTCTCTTCATTCTCAGATCCTCCCCTGATGGTGGCAGGATGAGTAGCAGCGGTATCAGGCTGTATCCTACCTAATTTTCAACTCCCACAGTAAGCGGGCACAATCTTCCCGAGAGATATAGCTAAAGTCCCAGGAAGGGTTCTCCCTGGGACCCAGCATGGGTCATGTGCCCAACCTGGAGATCAGGGATGGGATCAACCCCCTGTTCAAACTTCATGGTCTGAGAGTGGAAGAGAGGAGATGGCCCAAAGGAAATCAAGGAGGTGTTGTTTCCAGAGAAAGGCAGAAGGCTGCTGGTCAGGCCAAGCCCACAGATGCCCATGACACTGGTCAGCGTCTCGCTGGTATGTGAACCCAGGATGCTGGACCCCCAGAGTTTGGGCCCTCCATCACTACTGCACTGTGTTGCCTCCTGGTCTGTGTCTTTAGCATCATCAGGATTTAGAGATGTGGGGCGGGGCATCCATGTCCTAACCCCAGAAGGCAGTCTTGGCTTCCTATGGCTCCTGTAGCATTCAATCATCAAACACACGAGCACTAACCATGTAAGACCTGATGCTAGATACCTTGGGCATTCAGGAAGAGCCAGGCATGGTCCCTGCCCCGAAAAGCTCATCATCTAGTAAAGCAAACAGATGGGAGATGACAAACAGCAGCTCAGGACAGAGGAAGGGCAGAAATAGCTGTGCGGGGTTGTGAGAAGGGCTGGGGGTGAGGGTCGGGGTAGGTCCGGGGTCCGGGGAGAAAGAGCTTCATTCCAGCCAAGGAAGGACTCAGAGGAACACCTTTTGGACGTGGCACTGTAGCTGAGGAAACAGCTGGGTAAAGGCATGGAGGTGTGAAAAGGGAGTATCCTGGTATGCACAGCTTTAGCAGAGATGGTGGTATATAGCTGGGCCAGACCATGCGGGGCCTCAAGAGTCTAGCCAAGGAGTCTGGACTTTCTTTTGTAAGTAGCAGGGAGCCACAGGAGGTTTTTGCGAATGGGAGCGATGTAATTGGTCCTGTGCCTTAAGAATTTCACTAGGGCAAGGTGTGAAGGATGAATTGAAGCAGGGCGAGGCAGAGGAGACTTCTGCAGTTTAAGAGACTGTTGCAGCCACTGTAGTGATAACTGGTTTAGGCATGAATCACCGGCTGATGCTAAATTCCTGGGTGAAGGGTTGTCAGGCAACAGTATATTCACACGGTCTCAGAGTATCGCCCCTCAGATTACATATCGATTACAGAGGGAAAAGGCACCCTTAGGATGGGAAGATCTGGCAGACACCACCTTAACCAAGTGGCCGCTCAGCATCCCAGCATGGGGCAAACTGGCCAGGTGCCCCCATGTGTTGCACGGGGGAGGACATGGCATCTTTTCCAAGTCCAAGAGAGTGGGAACTGATTTTTGGACAATTAGACAGGAGGCCGTGAGAGCAAGTGTCGCGTGGACAGGGAGGGCCTCTCTGGGGAGGCGACATTGTAGCTGAGATCTAAGTTCAGAAACAGAAGGAAGAGCCATTGCAGAGCCTTAAGGAGTGGGCAGAGGTGGCAGGTTCGAGGAGAGAAGAAAGATGGGGTGATAGGAGCATGTGGAGTGTAGGAGAAGGGGGTGCAGAGGAGGCCGGTGTTGGGGGCCACCAGTAACCTGACCCTCCCTCCCAACCTGTTCCTCCTCCAATCTGTTTGTTCTATGTCACCACCCATCCGGAGGCTCAGGTCCCAAATCTCGTGTTATCCCGATTCCTCTTTCCTCACCTTTTACATCCAATCAGCAGCAATTCTGGTCAGCACCTCCAAAACACACCCCAAATATGTCTCCTTTTTGCCATCTTTACCACTGCTCCCCGACCAAACCAGGGGTTATTGCCACAGCGCCTTCAGATCTCCTGTTTCTGCCAGGCCCCTTTAGTCCATTCTGCCCCGAGCAGCTGAGCCATCCTTTAAAAACATTCATCAGATCTTGTCAGCACCCCAGCCTCCACTGCCCTGCCCCATCAGGCCCTGGGGAGAGTGTGTATGGGAAGAAGCACCTCCTCAGTGCGAATGGCCTGAGAGCTGGTGGGGTTTTGTACTAAATCCCTGCTTTCTTGCTCTTAAACACAGGGGCCGTGGGGTGGGGGGACCCTCACTATGTGACCTGCTTGATCAAAGGCAGTCACCACTGTCTGCCTGGCGGCAGGTTCCCAAATGCAGCAGGAGGCCACGGCCTGGGGGTAATTAGCCAAGTCCAAGATGCTGGGAATGCCTTGACATCCCTCTCGGGGCACCTCTCAGTTTGCAGACACACTCCATGGGGCAGGCTGTGCCGAGCCCGGCTAGCTGAGGGACAAAACACAGGTGCCCTAGAACCTCTGCATAGCCTGCCCTGTGTGCTCACTAAGGGGGCTGCAGGAATGAAGTCAGATCCTGGGTGGGCCAGGTTCCAAGGGATGCTTGTGTTGGGTGGGAAAGGGAAGAAACCGGGGCTGGGGGTGCTGACCCAGCTGTGAGCCACTGGGAGTGGTGGTAAACGCCATCTCAGCCAGTGCACATGCTCAAAGGGTGGGAAGACTCCAGGACGAGGTGCAACTCAGAGCTGGAAGGTGGTGGCACGATATTATTTCTCACTTATGGTGTGCTAGACACTTTCCTAAGCCCAGTAGACACAGTAGTAAAAAAGAAGGCGAGGCCCCTACCCACAGGGCGCTGGGAGGCCGGTGGGGGCAGGCAGAGCCTTGCCAGACATGGGAAATGCCTGGATTTTATTCCAAGTGCAGATGGGAGCCCCTGAAGTTTTTGCTTTTTTTTTTTTTTTTTTTTTTGCGGTACGCGGGCCTCTCACTGCTGTGGCCTCTCCCAACGCGGAGCACCGGCTCCAGACGCGCAGGCTCAGCAGCCATGGCTCACGGGCCCAGCTGCTCCACGGATGTGGGATCTTCCCAGACCGGGACACGAACCCGCATCCCCTGCATCGGCAGGCGGACTCCCAACCACTGCGCCACCAGGGAAGCCCTGCATTTTTTTAAATCTTTTAGAAGAGTTGCAAGGATAGTACAGAGAGTTTCCATTATACCGCTTACCCGGGTTTTCCCAGTGTTGACATCTTACATAACCATAGCCCTATTATCAAAATTAAGAAATTAACACTGGTAACAATACTACTGACTAAACTACAGACTTTCTTTGGATTCACCGTTTTTCCACAAATGCCCCTTTTATGTTGCAGGATCCAATCCAGGATCCCACATTGTGTTTAGTTACCATGTCTTTCAGTTTTCTCCCATCTGTGACAGCTTTTCGTCTCTCCTTGTAAGCAGGGGTGATCTAGCTAGATTTGCTTTTGGAAAGGATCTCCCTGGATGGGTGATGACCTTGGGCCCAGAGTGCACATTGTTGGGGGGCTATTGCAACCATCCAGGTGAGAAAGGAGGGTAGCTGAGAGCGGGGAGGTGGGAAGAGGTGGATGAGAGGAGCGTGCAGATTTGGAACGTCGTGGGGCATCAGACCATCACGCAACCACAAGGCAAATTTTTTTTTTGGCCGAATCTCCGGCTTGCGGGATCCTAGATCCCAGTCTCGGCAGTGAAAGTGCCGAGTCCCAACCCCTGGACCGCCAGGGAATTCCCAACAGCGCAAATTTTAAGTGCTGCTCTCTGCGTGGTTCCAGTTCCTCGATGGGTGCTGGAAACTCAAGACTTCAGTGACACCAGCTCATAGAGTTTGGAGGAGGCAGAGGTTTCAAAGTGTGAGAAGAGGGTTTCCATTTTTTTTTTTTTTTGGCCGCGTTGCGTGGCTTGTGGGATCTCAGTTCCCCCACCAGGGACTGAGCCCTAGGCCAAGGCAGTGAAAGTGCAGAATCCCAACCACTAGGCCATCAGGCAACTCCCCAGAGAAGAGAGACTCTTAAGTGCGGACTTTAATGAATGCAGTCGTGGCTCCTTCAAGACACGGCCACAATACCCGTTACTTCTCTCCTGAAGTACCAGCCCAGGGACACGCACACAGCTGGTGGCCACCACATGCTTGGTGACCAAGGGACTGAGGGGGGTGTAGGGTGACACCATGATCATGGCGGCCCCTTCATGGGGATGGGAGTTGTGAGGGGGTCACTGATTAGCGAAGTTACATGAATTCCTTAGATCAGGGCTTCTTAAACTGTAACGTGCATGCAAATCACCTGGGAATCTTATTAAAATGTGATTCTGATGCAGTGCACCCAGGGTGCACCTGAGATTCTGCATTTCTTAGCAAACCCCCGGGTGAGGCCAATGCTGCTGGTTCACAAAAGGAACTTTTTAGAGCGATCACACAAGTCTCACTGGAAGAGAGGGGGGAATTTCTCGGAATCCAGTTGCAGGAAGTAGAACAGAAATGAAAATTTGTTGGTAGCTGCTGTTCGATCTAGCTCTCCCTCTCTGGGGTCACACAGGCTATTTTATGCTTCTTTCTTTCTTTTTCTTTTCTTTAAAGATTTTTTGATGTGGACTATTTTTTTTTTTTTGCGGTACGCTGGCCTCTCATTGTTGTGGCCTCTCCCGTTGCGGAGCACAGGCTCCAGACGCGCAGGCTCAGCGGCCATGGCTCACAGGCCCAGCCGCTCCGCGGCATGTGGGATCTTCCCAGACCAGGGCACGAACCCGTGTCCCCTGCATCGGCAGGTGGACTCCCAACCACTGCGCCACCAGGGAAGCCCAATGTGGACTATTTTTAAAGTCTTTATTGAATTTGTTATAACATTGCTTCTGTTTTATGTTCTGGTTTTTTGACCGCAAGTCATGTGGGGTCTTAGCTCCTCGACCAGGGATTGAACCCGCACCCCCTGCATTGGAAGGCGAAGTCTTAACCACTGGACGGCCAGGGAAGTCCCTCACAGACTATTTTCAAAACTGCTCTTTACGAGTTTGCCTCTTTTCTAACTTGTTCGTGAACCCCCAGACTATGTGACCTTCGGCTCTAGAGCCCACCCCACTTTGACCGAGTCATCCTGGTTTTCAATTTCAAATTCCTGACCTCAGCTTGAGAGTGGCATCTAAGCCCTCCCCCAGTCTGTTGCTCAGAGGGGTGGAGTTGTGTGATAGGGAAAGTGGGTCCTCTAAGGAGACAGTGTGGGGTGTGCCCCAATCACCTGTCCCAGGGGACAAAGGAAGGTAGGCTGTGGGAGCTGCCTAGACCTCTGCCTTTACCTTGAACCTACCTCTTCTCTCTCTAGGCTCTGGTGGTGGGAACCGAAGCGCCGGACAACACTGGGCGAAGCTCCGGGGAGAAAGTGGGTACTTCTTGGAGCGGCACCGGTCGGCGCTGACCCCGGTCTCTCCCGCGACACCACAGAGTGGTCCTCGAAGTGCCACCCCCCAGGCTTCCTCTCTCCATCGCTCTGCTTCCACACAACTCGATACCTCCCGAGCCTCCTCTCCCCCCCGAATTGCCCAACGGGACAACCCCAGAACCTCATCCACCCAGCAGGACACCCCCAGGACCTCTTCCAAACAGCGGAACACCCCCAGAGCATCCTCTCCCTCAAGAGTCGCCCAACGGGATAACCCCAGAACCTCGTCCACCCAACAGGATACCCCCAAGACCTCTTCCACACAGCGGAACACCCCCAGAGCATCCTCTCCCTCAAGAGTAGCCCAACGGGATAACCCCAGAACCTCGTCCACTCAACAGGATACCCCCAAGACCTCTTCCACACAGCGGAACACCCCCAGAGCATCCTCTCCCTCAAGAGTCGCCCAACGGGACAACCCCAGAACCTCGTCCACCCAACAGGATACCCCCAAGACCTCTTCCACACAGCGGAACACCCCCAGAGCATCCTCTCCCTCAAGAGTCGCCCAACGGGACAACCCCAGAACCTCGTCCACCCAACGAAATAATCCTCAAGTTTCCTTTCCCCCCAGAGCCACCCAACAAGACAACTCCAGAGCCTCTTCTACCCAACAGGACAGCCCTCAAGCTCCTGTCCCTACTTGTACTCCCCAGTGGGACAACCCCAGACCTTCTTGTATTCAACAGAACACTCCCAGAACCTCTTCTACCCAAAGGGACAACCCCAAAACCTCTTGTGCCCAACGGGACAATCCCAAACCCTCTTCCTCACGGCGGGAAAACCCAGGAAGCTCCTCCTCTCAGGGCTGCACCCAACGGGACAATCCCAGACCTTCCTCTCCCCATCGTTCCTCTCAGCGGAACAATCCCAGGAATTCCTCTCCCCATCGTACTAACAAAGACATTCCATGGGCCTCCTTTCCCCTCCGGCCAACCCAGGGTGATGGCCCCCGAACCTCTTCCCCATCTCGCTCCAAGCAAAGTGAGGTTCCCTGGGCATCCATTGCCCTCCGGCCAACCCAAAGCGACAGGCCTCAGACCTCATCTCCCATCAGACCAGCTCAGCATGACTCACCCCAGCGCTCCTCCAGCCCCACCCAGCACAACTCACCATCCCGGGCCACTTCCTCCTCCCACCCGCCAGGCCACCACAGTGCCTCCCGGACCTCCTCGCCTCTGCACCCTGCTACCCGCGGTGCACCCCAGACCTCTCCGGAGCCCTCCCAGCCCCCCTGCCCTGTGTGCATTGGGCACCGGGATGCCCCTCGAGCCTCCTCGCCTCCTCGCTATTTGCAGCATGACCCCTTTCCCTTCTTCCCAGACCCCCACGCATCTGAGAGTGAATCGCCCCACCATGACCCCCCCTATATGCCCCCAGCCGTATGCATTGGACACCGGGATGCCCCTCGGGCTTCCTCACCCCCCCGCCACACCCAATTTGACCCCTTTCCTTTCCTCCCAGACACGTCAGATGCTGAGAACCAGTCCGCCCAGCACGAGCCTCCTCAGTTCCCCCCCACTGTGTGTATCGGGCACCGTGACGCACCCCGGGCCTCCTCCCCGCCGCGCCAAGCCCCAGAGCCCTCCCTCTTGTTCCAGGATCTCCCCAGGGCCAGCACCGAGAGCCTTGTCCCCTCCACAGACTCTCTGCACGAGCGCCTCCACATCCCCAGCCCTGTATGCATTGGGCACCGTGATGCACCCTCCTTCTCGTCCCCGCCCCGCCAGGCCCCCGAGCCCTCCCTCTTCTTCCAGGACCCCACTGGGACTAGCATGGAGAGCCTGGCCCCCTCCACCGACTCTCTGCGTGGCTCCCCAGTGCTGCCCCCTCAAGTGTGCATAGGGCACCGGGATGCCCCTCGAGCCTCCTCTCCACCCCGCCACCCGCCCAGTGACCTAGCGCTCCTGGCACCCTCACCTCCGCCAGGCAGCTCGGGGGGCTCCCGGGGCTCGGCGCCCCCGGGTGAGACCAGGCACAACTTGGAGAGGGAGGAATACACCGTGCTGGCCGACCTGCCCCCACCCAGGAGGCTGGCGCAGAGGGAGCCAGGGCCCCAGTGCAGCAACGGGGGCCGCACCCGCAGCCCTGGCCGCGCAGAGGTGGAGCGCCTCTTCGGGCAAGAGCGCAGGTGAGCCCAGGGCTGGGGCAGCCAGGTGGGCTGGGGCGGAGGCTCGGCGGCGGCAGGACAGGTGGAAGGTTCACAGGCTTAGGTTCCAAACCAGGAAAGGGTTTAGACCCCCGCCCTGCCGCTTACTGGCTATGTGACCTTAGGCAAATCACTTCACCTGTTTCCACACCTTAGGAGTTGTTTTTGACAATTAAGTGATATTGTGCATAGCCTAGCGGGTAGGAGCGAAGACCAGGGTCAGGCAGGCGGGGTTCAAATCCTGAGTCAACGCCATTCGCCAACTGGTGTGATGTGGTAAAGTGATTTAATCTACCTGAGCCTCAGTTTCCTCATCTGTAAAATTAGAACATTAGTACATTAATTTAAATGAGGTTAAATTCTCAAACCCTTTGTTTGATCCAGAGTCACAGGTTTATTTATTTATTTATTTATTTATTTATTACACCTTATGTGAGGGAGAAGAAAGTGTCCCAGATTTTTTTTCTGCCTTAAAGAAGAAAGCTCACAGGTCCCTTGCACTTCCGAAAACAGAGATGTCAATTTAAAACGTATGGCCAGAGCCACATATTTTAAATAAGAGAACCCACAGGATGACAGACTTTTTTTAGAGGTTAAATATTCCTTTCCTGGGACGCAGCGACAGCACCTGAAGTCCAGGAATCCCACAAGTCTCCTTGGTCAGTGGCTCCATTCATGCGGGTGTTTACAACCCAGCAGAACGTCTGCTTTTCCCCAGTCTTGGGGAGGAGAAGTGTTTCCACCAGATCTGGCTGAGATTTCTTTCTCCAGCAGTTCCAGCCTCAGAGTCTTTAAGGATCAGGGCTGAAATTCCATTCGCTAAGTTCAAGAGAACAAAAAAACATAGGTCTGAAAGTCTCAAAACTTTCAGTGTAGAATTCAATAAATTATAGCATATTTACCGAGGCTGAGGTGTACAGCCATCACCACAACATAATTTTAGAACATTTCCATCACCCTAAGGAGTGGGTAATATTTTGCATCCACAATTCCTCTCTTTGTTGTCCCTTAGAAAACATTTTCTCTTAGATTTGAATCTGCACGAGAAACCTTATCTCTTATTCTTCAAATTTCCTTTTCCAGTAAGTTTTATCCATTTAAAACCCAGGCGACAACCTTTGTGGTCTCCAGCGTTAGTGTAATTCTTTCTTTGGCCTCTTAAAAAAAATACTTTCGTTTTTTTAGAGCAGTTTTTGGTTCACAACAAAATTGAGAGGAAAGTACAGAGATTTCCCATATACGCCCTGTTCCTACACGTGCACAGCTACTCCACTATCAACATCCCCCGTCAGAGTGGTCCACTTGTTGCAATCCATAAACTTACACTGACACATTATCACCCAAAGTCCATAGTTCACATTAGGGTTCACTCTTGGTGATGTACATTCTGAGTCCAGACAAATGTCTAATGACGTGTGTCTACCATAAGAGTATCACACAGAATAGTCTCACTACCCTGAAAACCCCCTTTGTCTTTGGCCTTTTATGATGACTATTTTTGGTCTGATGTCAATTTGCATACCTTTGACTTTACCTGATGACTCAGCAGGGTCTTTGAACCAAAGTTAAATTTTCTTTCCTTCTTTTTTTTCTTACCGTGATTAACTTTTAGAGAGATAAAGCGTTTATAGTAGAAGTCTGGAATATTTATACTTTTATTAATCATTTAATTGTTCTTACACAGGTACTTCTATTCATTTTATTTTGCTCTCTTTGAAGTAGATTTACCTTTTTTTTAAAGCCTTATTGAGGTATGACTGATATATAAAAATTGCATATTTAGCATATATATTTTGGTGAAGTAGATTATTTGCTTTTAACCAAGGCTTTACGACTCTACTGAGTAATTAAAAATTTCGCTCTTGTATGGCATTTTTTCCAAGTAGAAAACCATTCGTCCTCTGAAGATAAAATTTTAAAACCTACTTAAATATCTCTAAGGGACAGACTGAAATTTATGAGTGGGTGGCTATAGAGCTGTACTCTTACTTTCTCCCATTCATTCATTCAACATGTATTTATTGAGCATCTACTCTGTTCAAGCATTGCTCTAACTGAGGCTGGACGTTTTTTCTTAAAGGGCTATTATCACATTAAAGCATTAGGAATTTTGGCTCGATATCTTCATTCCTGCCCTCTTGATGCCTTTGGAATTTCTTGTCTTAGAATCATATAAGCATTTCCTAGTATCTTGAATTCAAAACAGAGCCTTCATGGAATTTACCTGACTTGACGGTCGCTGTCCTTTAATACCCTCTGGAGGTGGAAGAGCCCATCCAAGCTTCTTTGTCATCCTCGGTGCAGAGCCACACCAACCCTCAGGAACAGGTGGCCCGAGGAAATACTGTTGCTTCAGCATCAGGAGGCCGGGTCTCTGTCCAAGTCTCAGAATTTTCTTGAGTTCTTCTCTCCCCTCTCTCCATTCCACACGGGGGGAACCTTCTCAGACGGAATGCTCACTGAACAAGCTGGAGTTTATAGGGAAAATGCATTCATTCGGAAGAGAACGCACGTTTGCCTCGCCACCCTGCACAGGGTAGTTTCTGCCATTATCCTCCCCACCTAGTCAGCGTTGGGGTTTTTGCTTCGCAGAGGCTCCTACACCCCGGTTCTGAGGGAAATTCACTCTAAGGCATCAGATCTCACAGAGCAAGGAAACTCTCTCGCTTCAAATTGGATTAAAAATTGAACCTGATCAGGCAGCCGTCAAACTTAGAAACAGTTACTCCAGAGCAGGGAACTGGTTTCCTGTGAGTCCAATGCTAAGAATGGCTAAAAAATCAAATTAGTTTATGGATCTGATTCCAATAACATTGGCAAAAGCCATAAGACAAGAACAAAGCCCAAGGCCTTAATTGTTTCACTTTCTAAAGCCTCTGTAGAGTTTCAGCCTAGTCCCCAAGCTGGAGGCAGACTGCAGGGTATGGGTCCTGGCTCAGACCTGAGGAGAGATTCTTCTTCCTGTTTCACTGGCTGGGTCAAGGTCAGCACCTGGTCATCTTTCCCAGCCTTCTGGTTTGGTTCAGCCACCAGAGACACAGCTCCATCTGCCAATTTAGATGAAGTCTGACTCTCAAACCCTCTTGCAATAAATATCCTAAATACCCAGTGGAGTGGTTAGGTCTTTTCTTTTGACCCCCTTACACAGGGGAGGGGAGAGATGTACCCAGATTCTGTTTAATGTTCCTACATTTCAACAGAGATGTCACGTTAACTATTAATAGCCATGGCTAACGATTATTAAGCAAGACAACTACTAGCTGGAACTAGGGACTTTCCACAGCTTAGAGGTTGTCTTCGTCGGACGTGGCAACAATGCCTGAAATCTGGGTGTCTTAGACATGACATTTGCATGGACGGTTTTATGTTGGCTTTTCTGGAGTTGTGGGGAAAAGAGGATGTTTCTTCCTTCTGATCTTGCTAAGAGCTCTTTAACCAACAGCTAGATGGCTGCAGCTAGTACTGAGGGGAAAAACAGGTTGGCCTGGGAAGTCCAAAATTTACCATATGGATAGAAAATGGGCAGAAAGAATGGAATATGGGGGCATATGACATTCTGCCTCTCCTGTCTCCACCTCATGGATTGCAGGAGTTGAAATGAGATAGTACAAGTGCCTGGGACACAGGAAGTGTTCCATAAATGTTTGCCATTATGATCACGCATGCACACTGCCTGCGACACCGTAGGTGCTCAATAAATCTTAATTCCCACAAGGACCAGTCTAGCCTTTGTCTGAGGGTGAACTGTGGGCTGCCAGTGGGGTGGCGGTCAGAAAGGAAGTACTGAGTGAGACAGGAGGCGGTCAAGGCCAAGGCTGAGCTCCCCGACCTTTGCCCACCCCTTTTCTCATTTCATCTTCCCAACAGCCCCATGAGGCAGGTAGGATAGGGCAGTGTCGACTATCCCCATTTTGCAGAAGGGGAAACTGAGGCCCTGAAAGGATCCTCCCTCACTTAAGGCCCTTCAACGAGCTTGTGGTGGGTCCCTGGATCTGCTACATCTCTTCCACTGGGGGTGGGAGTAGAGGAGCTGGGGTGCCGGGAGTGGGGCAGTCCCAAGGGCCCTCAGAGGGGCGGTGCGTTTGCTCATAGGAAGTCCGAGGCACCGGGGGCCTTCCAGACCCGGGATGAGGGGCGGTCGCAGCGGCCCAGCCAAGTTCAGAGCCAACCTCTCCGAAGACAGTCCAGCCCTGCCCTCAGCAGGGAGGTGAGCACTGCCAGCCTGCCCGGGGCCCCTGCACCCCCAAGGGGTGAGCCACAGCTTCTCCCCTCCCCCAGGTGCTGGGCGGGGGTCCTGGGAAGGGAGGTTCTTTACGAAAGGGTCAGAGTCCCAATCATGGGCGTCCAGCTCCTCCCTCTCCCAAAGAGCCAGCAAAATTGAGCCAGACCCCATCAGTCCATCTTGAAGATGGCCCTTCCATGCTGTCCCCGTCCTTCATTAGGCATCTGCCATCTTGAGAAGTTTTCAGGGAAAACCTCCCCATACGTCAGTCCAGCTCTAAGGGCTGTCTCTTCCAGGGTGGGGATTGGTACTTTTAAAGAAACTCTTAGATGGCAGGGCCCAACCCAGTGTGAATGGAGTATTGGTGGTGGAAATTCCGGCACCTGATAGCCCCGGTTGGAATCAATATCTTGGGGGGGAGGGGGAAGTCCGGAAAGTGAGCAGCTGTTTGCAGATCTTTTTCTGGAACTGAGGAAGGTGGGTGAGGGGGAAGGGCTGACACCCCTAGGGAGGGAAGCCAGAGACCCTAGGTACTTTTTGACCTGCTTTAATCCAGCCTGCCGTGAGGACAGAGCTTGCAACTCCCTGAAGCCTGGCTAAGACCCCAGTTTCCTGTCCTCCTAGACAGACACCACCCAGTCAAGGTCCTGGAGCCTCACCCACTCCCTCACCTCATCCTCAGGTAACCAAGCCCCTCGCGAAGCAGGCAGAACCGGCCCGGCGGAGCCGAGCAGACCCCCCTCATCCCAGGAGCCCCGAGAGGCGGCCTGAGGGGGAACGGCGGCTCCAGGGGTCCTCGCCGCCCCCGAGGACGTCAGCCAGGACTCCTGAGAGGGAGCAGCGGACAGAGAGCCCTCTGGAAAGAGGCCGGGCGGGCCCAAGACGGCCCCTGGGAGGGCAGCAGAGTCTGGAGGGACCGCCAGGATCCGGGGACCCACATGGACACCTGGAGAGAGGCTGGGGCAGGCAGGAGGGCCCAGGCCTGGGGGGCTGGCTAGGACTTGGGGGGCCCAGGCAGGGGGCTGCCAGAGCCCCAGAGGAAACCTGGAGGGGCCCTCCCAGGGAGTCTGAGGAGAGCTGGAAGCTGCTGGCTGGCGCCCCCTGCCACAGGGGGCAGGCAGAGGCCTGGGAGGAACCCCCCAGTGCTGGGCCATGGGAGCCCTCTGGCAGGCCAGCTCAGCGGGGCTGGGGCAGCCTGCAGGAGCTGTCCAGTCCTCACCAGCCTATGAGGCCCCCAGAGAGCTCCAGGGCAGGCCCAGGAGAGTTCTCGAAACCCCGGAGGCCTGAGACCCCCCCTGCCACGGGCTGGGGGGCTGAGGGAGCCTGTCCACACCTGCGTGGCCCCGAGAGGCAGCCCGAGCTTGACTGGAGGGACCTGGTGGGCCTCCTCATGGCCCCCAGAGAGGGGGCCTGGACCCACTCGGGGGAGCCGACGCTCTCCTCCACTCTTCCGAGACTGGACTGGGAAGGCCTCCTGGAGCTCCTGCAGGCCCAGCTGCCCCGCCGGGACTCGGCTGGACACTGGGGTGGGCCGGGCACAATTTCCCCAGGCACGAAGGGTACTCTGGAGCTGGAGCCAGAGCGACACACCCAGTCTGAAGGAGGGGCAGGAACTACTCTGGTCAATGGATACAGCCCTGGGCAGTGGCCCCAGAGCTCCGCCCAGCCGCCCAGCCCTGCCGGCATCTCCACCCAGTGGCCAAAGACCAAAGTGACAAGTGGACCAGAGACCTCAACTATGGCTGGTCTGGAGGAGACAGGCCAGCTGAGGGGCAGGAGCCCTGCAGAGGGCCCCAGCTCGCTACAATGGGAGGTAAGTCAGCCTCACTTCCGAGGGGCAGCCTGAAAGTCAGTCCCACCGCACACAAGTGTCCCGAAAGACCTCCCCTCAGCTTCTGCACACAATCCTCCTGACCAAAATCTTCCCCTAGCACACTGCACAGTGATAATGAGAGCACTTTTTTTGAGCATGTACTGTGTGCTAAGCCTTGGTCTGAATGCTTTATGGTATTTTCCTCATTTAATCTCCACAGCAGTCTGATGAGAAAGGCACTATTTATTTACAGACAAGGAAACTGAGACACAGAGAGGTTAAGCCACTCACCCAAGATCACACAGCTAGTCAGGCCCGGGGTAGGGGTGGACCCTGGGTCTGCTCTGTGCAGATCACCCTGAGGCCTCAAGCAAGATGCACTGGCCAGGCCCTTCTCCCCTCCTGGCCCTACAATACTTGGTTTGTGTTGCCTCTGGTGGCTTCTACCTGGCCCTGTCTGGGACTGCAGCCAGCGTGGTCGTGTCCCCTCGCCACTGCTGTATTCCAAGTTCCTTAAAGTCCAGGAGTGAAGCTTGACAGCTTCACTTACCTTTCTCTGGCCCATACAGCTCCTCTCAGGCACAGAGAAGGGGTTGCATAAATGCTCACTGGGCTGAGCTGGCTGCTGAGACAGCTGCTTAAACGGGGGCCTATATGTAAAGTAGGCCCAGTGCCTGGTGCATAGTAGGTGCTCACCAAATCCCTTCCTGTCTCTTTGGCCCAGGGGCAGGGTCACAGAGTCAGTGGTGCTCTGGTGCTGCCCAGAGCATTTACCTTAAGATGGTCAGTGGGAAGGGTCCTGGAGGCCAGAACCCTGCAACCTGGCCTCAGCTCACCAGGAATGCAGCAGGTGGTTTTGGACACCCAGACTGTCTTGGTCCTGGTCTTCCTCTGTAAAACGGGACCAACTACTTCCCTGACAGGCACTACTGGGGCGATGCGGCAGCTCCTGCTCTTTCATCCAGACCCTCCTCGTCTCCACAATGTGCAGCCCAGTACTGCCTCCCCCACGGATGACAGGGGAGGGCTTATGGTGTGCCGGGCCCTGGCCTTGGGGCTTCGCATGCTTTGCCACATGTGCCTCAGCTAGATACGAGGCCCAGACTCATTCAGCATTTGCTGGGGGTCACACAAGTATAAGTCGAGAGAAGTGAGATCAAAGTATTGACTCCAAAGCCCGAGTTTTTACTTTTTAAAATTTTATTGAAGTATAGTTGATTTACAATGTTGTGTTAATTTCTGCTGTACAGCGAAGTGACTCAGTTATACATATATATACTTTTTCATATTCTTTTCCATTATGGCTTATCATAGGATATTGAATATATTTCCCTGTGCTATACAGTAGGACCTTGTTGCTTATGCATCCTATATATACTAGTTTGCAAGACAAAAGACATTTGTGTTTCTTTCTGATTTCATTTTGTATGATAATCTCTAGGTCCATCCATGTTGCTGCAAATGGCATTATTTCATTCTTTTTTGTGGCTGAGTAATATTCCAGTGTGTGTGTGTGTGTGTGTGTGTGTGTGTGTGTGTGTGTACACCACGTGTATATACACCACGTCTTATTTATCCATTCATCTGTTGATGGACATTTAGGTTGTTTCCATGTCTTGGAAAAGCCCAAGCTTTTAACCACTATTTTGTGGAGCCTCTGAGCCCATGGAAGGACTAGGGAGCCCCCTTCCCTGCATTTCCCTGAGGCTGCTCTCGATTTCTCCCCTGATCAGCTCGATGCACAGACACCAGAGATACAGGGATGAGCCAGCTTGGTCCTGCCCTTGGGACCAAGAGGGGACTTGGGGCCCCACATGAGAGGTTGCTATCAGGCTTGTTGGGCAGGCAGGTGGACCACCACAGGCAGCTCAAGGAGAAGATGCTGCGTCCCAGTGGACGCTGGGATGCTGCAGGCTGGTCTGGTCAAAAGAGAAGAGGGAGGAAAGAGAGATTCTCTAGCTAGAGTTACTCCATGGTGAGGCTCAGGGGTCCCTGGGTGGTTAGGAGATGGTGACTGGGGAGGGGCAGGAACACCAGGTGCTTCAGGCCATTTCACAGATGACACAGCAGAGGCATTCACCAGGTCCTGCTGGGGCTCCAGCTGGTCACCTCTAGGAAATCTTTGGCATGGCATTCAAGGCCTCCTGGCCTTCCACCCCAGATTTGCCCTCTAGCTGTGCTGAGCTGGCTGCAGAGCTCTGTGAGCACATCTCCCTGCCCTTGTGCCTGCTGTTTCTGGCTAGGAAGCTCTTCCCTTCCCTCTTCACTCACTAAACGTCTGTTCATTGTTTGAGTCTTAGATCAGCTGCCCTGTTCTGAGACGCCTTCCCTGAATACTCACGCCACCCCTGGATTGGTGATGTTTCCCTTCTGGGCTTGGTAGTTCTGCTACTCTTCATCTGGTCACACTCAGTTGTCATTTTCCCTTAAAAAACATGAGCTCCATGCGGGCAGGAGCTGCACCTACTTTATCTCTGTACCTCTGGCCCCTGGCCCAGGGTCTGACACAAAGGAGATGAGCTTAGTGGCTGGTTGACCAGTGAATACATGGATGCTTGAGGGCTTGCAAGAAACAGACGGAGGGTGGGTAGGTCCGTGGGTAGTTGATGGATGAATGATGGATGACAGATGTATGAACGGGTGATGGATAGATGATATATGTTGGACAAATGAGAAACAGATGTTGGATGGATGGCAGATGGGTGGATGGATGAATGGAGATGGGTGCTGGATAGATAGATGTTGCATGGATGGGTAAATGTTGTGGAATATGGATGATGGATGGTGAATGAATGTTGGAAGGATGGGTAGATGGATGAATGGATGTTGGATGGATTGAGGAAGGATACGTGGATATAGTTCTTTTTTTAATTAATTTATTTTTGGCTGCGTTGGGTCTTCGTTGCTGTGCGTGGGCTTTCTCTAGTTGCGGTGAGTGGGGGCTACTCTTGGTGGCGGTGAGCAGGCTTCTCATTAGGGTGGCTTCTCTTGTTGCGGAGCACGGGCTGTAGGCACACGGGCTCAGTAGTTGTGGCTCATGGGCTTAGTGGCTTCACGGCACGTGGGATCTTCCTGGACCAGGGATCGAACCCATGTCCCCTGCATTGGCAGGTGGATTCTTAACCACCGCACCACCAGGGAAGTCCCGTGGATACAGGATGGATGAATAGATGATGAATAAATTGAGGATGGATGTATTGGGATAATGGATGTTGGCTAGATGAGTGGGTGGATGACATAGGATGGATTCTGGATGGTTGGATGGATACATGGGTCTATTGATGTTAGATTCTAGATGGATGTTAGATGGATGGATGATGAATGGATGCATAAGAAGTTGGAACCTGGGGAATAATCTGACCTAAGCTGTGTTCTTTCTTACCTCCAGTTCCAATCAAAGGAGCCTGAGGAGTCAGAAGGAAGCAGAGGCCAAGACTCACTGACTGACCAGAAGCAGGCAGACTCGGTAGTTGGGTCATGGGTGTGGGCGCAGAGGGAGGGGAAGGGAAGGGAAATCAGGTTGGAGGTGGGCTGAGGTCCTCAGATCAGCTCTGGGGTCATCCAGACCAAGGCTGGCTCCGCCATGGGGATATCGAGAAGAGGGGCTCTAGATGAGCTGGCAGCAGGGCCACTGCATCTGGGTGGGTGGACAGTCCTAGGGTCAGAAGCCTAGGGCTCTGCTTTCAACTTGCTAGGATGCCCTGAAAGGTCGCTGCCCTTCCCTGGGCAAATGGCAGTTTGGCCCCGATGGTCTCTGAAGGCAAGGTCCTCCTGATTCTGGAGGGTTGGCCAGGCTGGGAGAAAGGGTAGAGCTTCCAGGAGCTGGAGCCAGAGAAGCACTGAAGAGGGCCAAGGAGGTACAGAAGTCAGCTGGGCCTGGAGGAGCTCCAGGGTCCTGGGGCGGGAGAGATGTGTGCAAGGGGTGGGACCCGCCGAGGCCGCTCTGAGGCCCGGCTGCAGCTGGAGCACATGCTCTGCCCCGCCCCTCCCCACAGACCTGCCAAACAGACCATTCTCATCACCCGCAGCCTCCAGAGAGGTGAGGTCAGAGCTGAGGGCCTGGGGCAGCGGGAGGTTTGAGGCTGTGCTTTTCTAATCCTGCTGTTGTTCTGCTGTTCCCCATGCTGCTTCCTGAGAAGCCGGGTGTGACGGGGGTGAGGGGTCGGGGGGGTGTCTGTCTGGCAGTCTGGAGCCCCCAAGTCTGGCCCTGCCGCTAGTCAGAGCTGGAGGGATTCTGCCCAACCCCTGACTGCAGATGAGAAAAGGAGGGGTAGGCAGTCATCTCAGATCACATAGCTGGTCAGCGGTCGGGCTCAAATTAGGACCCAGGGCTCAGGAGCCCCTACCCAGCGCTCTCTCTGCTACCCCCAACGCCGCTTCCTGGCTCTGCCCTGATTGCCTGCGTGGCCTCGCATAGTAGAAGCAGCGTTCTAACTGCTTGGTGGGCCAGTCTTCCCATCTGTGAAATGGGAGGGGACGGGGACTGGTCACTAAAAGCACTTCCGGCTCTCACAGGGACTCCGGCAACTTTGCTCTTCCTCTTTCTGGGTTATTTCTTCATACTTCCTGGGGCCAGAGTTTTGTGAACAAAGAGGAAACAGCAATACAGGTGTCCCCCTCTAGTCTCCATGAAATTGGCCTGCCCCAGCAACCCAGAAAACCTCTCAATCCCCCCGCAGGAAGTCTGGACTGGACAGAATTGATAACTGCCTCATTCATTCATTCACATACCCTTCGTGAGCACCTCGTGTATGCCTGGGTGTGGGCCAGGGGCGAAATGAAGCACCAGCAAGGAGCCCACGGTCTAGTGGTCAGGGCTGTGATGGCGATGTGGTGCAGGGTAGAGGCAGTCCTTCCCCCCAAAGCCCCCTGGATCTGTGCTTTGATGCTGCATGTCCCACGTCCAGAGAATCTCTGGATTCTGAAGAGTTGGGACACCTGGGCTCAGCCCTGCCTCTGCCGGTAACTTGCTCTGTGACTTTGGGCAAATGCCTCTGCTTCACTGGGGCCTCAGTTTCCCCAACAAGGATGGCTCCAAAGAGGGTGCACTGGGGACTCTGTCGGGTGTGTGGCTGTAGAAGTCTGTGACTCATTCCTTTCACAAAGGGGAGGAGAGTAGGCAGATGGGGGACTCAGGGTTAGGGGGCCCTTGAGTGACCCCTTGGCTCTAGAGGGTTGTTGCCTTGGGGAAGAGGAGCCCAGAGTTTCTCCATCTTTAGATATTTCAAGAGGAGCTGGAAATATGTAGCTATGTGTTAAACTACTTGATTATTTAACACTGGAACCTAATGCAAAATAACCTGAAAACCTTATGCGGGCTGAATACACATCTGTGGTCCGCGCTCCCCTCCCGCCGGCCACCTGGGGTCTGACCTGAGGGTGGAGAAGTGCACATCCCCAAGGGCGCTGAGCCCCAGGAGCCCTGTCAACCAACACCACGCGGTGTGAACACGTGGCAGTCCACCTCGGCAGTTCTGGGAGAGGAGAAATATGGCAACCCTGGGCGTTTGAGGTGGGCATGGCAGCATGGGCAGGGGAGGCTGTCGTCAGGGACGTGGGGGCCAACACTGGACCCTGTTTGACAGGCAGACAAGAGGCCAGCGGAGGGCAAGGCTGAGAGCCCACTCAAGGGCCGACTGGTGACCTCATGGCGGATGCCCGGGGACCGTCCCACGCTGTTCAATCCGTTCCTGCTGTCTCTGGGGGTCCTCAGGTGGCAAAGGGTAGGCTGGCTCCAGTGGGGTGGGGCTGGGGTGAGGGTGGGGAGAGTGGGGGAGGGGAGGGAGGAGGCTGGTGTCAGTCAAAGAAAAGCCAGCAGGGGCTCAGAGTGAGAGATGTGGAGGCCCCGTGTGAGGAAGGAGAGCTGGAAGCAGAGCCCAGAGCTTCCGTGATCTCTGCAGCGAGGGGGCGTCCCACCTGCAGGACCAGGCTGGGGCTGTTTTCAGCCTTCAGGGTGAGGGGTGATGGAATAATCCACCCAGCTGAAAGCTCCCAATCCGCAAATAGGCCAAGGGGAGCCAGGCTGGGGGCAAGGGGGAGAGGGAGGGAGGGCCTGCGAGGGGCTCTGGGATTGCAAAGTGTGTCTCAGACCTGGGTCTGAGCCAGTTGCACAAACATCTGGCATTACGTAACCCATTCCCTGCCCAGAGAGGGCTGTAAACACTCAGGCCTCTGGTTCGTGGTTTTCTCAAGGGCGGGGAGGGGAGGCAGCTGTGACTTGTGCTCTCCTGCCCCCTTCACGGTGGGAGGGAAGAGGCCTGGCCATCTCCAGGAGCCACAGCCTGGCTCATGGGGTCTCTTCTCTCGGTGACAGGCTGACTCTCATACTCTCCAGCTTGGGGTCTAGCTCTAGGCTGAGAGCCTGTATACCCATTCTACAGATGAAGGGACCGGGACTCAGAGAGGTGAGGTAGACTTGCCCGAGGTTGCACAGCTATGGTTTAGAGCAGCGTTCGCCAACCTTTTTGGCACCAGGGATGGGTTTCGTGGAAGACAATTTTTCCATGGACAGGCGGTGGGGGGGATGGTTCAGGCGGTAATGCAAGCGACGGGGAGTGATAGGGAGCGACGGGGGAGCGGCAGATGAAGCTTCGCTCGTTTGCCCGCCACTCACCTCCTGCTGTGCGGCCCAGTTCCTAACAGGCCAAGGACCAGTACCAGTCCACAGCCTGGGGGCTGGGGACCCCTGGTTTAGAGGAACTGGCCTCTTGCTGATTTTCCTCATTCCTAGATGAGAGAATGGCAGCAGCCAAACTCACCAAGCCTCAGTTGCAACATCTGTCTATTGGGGAAAAAAAAATCTATGGAGATGATCAGGGCTGCAGGGAAGGCTCAGGGAAATCAGGATGCACAGAGGTGTGATGGGGTGGGGTACGGGGTGGGGGGAGCATCCAAACACTACCTTCTCCATCCACTTCTTAATCTCCTCGCTGCTGCTCTTTGGGGGTTAAGGCACAAGGGTAACCAGGCAAACGTGGTTATCTGGGCAGAGTGGTATCTTCAAGCCATGGGCGGGAATTACCTTATCAACCTAACTAAGGGTCACTAACACACAGCAGTTCCGGCAGGAGGGGGCAGGTAAGTTTTTGGCTGGAGAGAAGGGGGAGAGAAGGGGGAGGGAAATGGGGAAATGGACTCTGGGATGATGATGATGGTGATGATGGCCAGCATTTATTGTGCACCTACTATGTGCTCAGCTCTGTGCTCAGTGCGTGGCACATCTGATTGCGTTGAATCCTCACCACTAGGCATACTAGGTACGGTTCATATTGTCCATTTCATAGATGAGGGAATGAAACTCACTTGTTCCAGGTCACACAATGGGGGAGAGCTAAGATTTGAGCCCTGCTCTGGCCGACTTCAGAGCCCACCCCCCCACCTCTGTGCATCCGTATCTCCCTGAGTCCTCCTTGCAGCCCTGAGAGTCTCTGCAGATTTTCTCCATTGGACAGATGTGGCAACTGAGGCTCAATGAATTTGCAGCTATTCTCTCACCTGGGAATGAGGAAAATCAGGAGCTGAGAGATGGAACTGCTAGTGGAGCCACCCAGACAGTTACTTAAAGCAGCTTCACACATCTCTTGGGCTGGACAGTGAAATTAGTCCAAGGTCAAGAGCTAGGAAGCCTGGGCTTGAGTTCTGTCTCTGCCCCTAACTTGTGTGACTTTGGGCCATCGTCTCCCTTCTCTGAGCCTCACACTGTTATCTTCAATAGAGTAACGCTTTGAGACTGGATAACCCCAAGGTTTGGTGGCTCTGTTTAATAAGTCAATCCTGGGTCCCTGAAGCTGTGCCATCTCTGTCTTACCGGGGCAAGCTGCAATAAGGCAGTCATTCCTTCATTTGTGCATTCATTCACTCGACCAATGTTTACTAAGGACCTAATGTGGGCTGAGGCCCTAGGCTTACCGTGATATAGACAAAAACCACTCTGTTCCTGCCCACAAGGAGCTCACAGTTTGTGAGGACACGGACATATAATTGATTAGAACACTGTGTGGTCATCACTTGAGTTGGGGAGTGTACAGATGCAGGGAGCTCTGGGCAGGGAATTCACACAGGCAGCCCTGGGAAAGGAGCTTCTAAGTCTGTGCTGGGGGCACTCTGGCTTCCTTTGGGCTGAGACTTGAAGGGTAAGGAGGAATTTTCCAGGCAAACAAACATGTGGAGGGAGGGAAGGGAGAGAGTGAGTGTGTGTGTGTTGGGGCATAAGAGGACAGGAAGGGAAGTGTTCCAGGCATGGCACAGAACAACATGTGCAGTTAGGGAGGTACAGAAGACCTGGCTTATTCTGGGACTTCCCAGCGTTGTGTAGCCCTAGCACGTGAAATGTGTGTGTCTAATGATAGAGGACAGCAGGCAGGGGCCAGATGATAATGGACATGACTGCGGGCACAAGGATGTGTGTATCAACAGTGGAGAAGTGTTGAAGAACTTTGAGCAGGGGAGTGTCCTCATCGCTGTGCT